TATAGAATAAAAAATAAAGGATCTTTTGAAAATTTTAAATTCCTCTTTTTTAATCTTTAACCCCAAAATGAGTCGTTGTAGAGTTGCAAGTGTTTATTTTACCTCCTATAGAAAAAATGTTAATCTAATATATAAAAGACAGTAATTTCATGATTTTTTAAATATTTGGTGTGAGAAATATTGGCCGATGATTGGCCTATTGATTAACATAATTTCGGTGACTTCTTCCAAATATATCACAATTATTCCTTATTCAGTACAACTTGGAAATATCATTGGAGAGATTTTCGCCGGTTATTGGCTGATTGATTGACTTAGAGCTCGTTTTGGTTCAACTCTTGAAAGAAGTAACTTTTATCTCTTCCTTAATTTAGAAGTGTTTTTTATAAAAGTTAAAGTTATTTATATTTTTATAAAAATAATTAATTTTTTTTTTAAAAAAATAGCTTTTGACTTTTGCTTTTTTTAGAAGTTAAAATTTTTAGCTTCTGAAAAAAGTAAGTTTTTGACTTTTTTGTGACTTTTTTAGAAGTTAAAGTGCTTTTTTTAAAAGCTGACATACAAAGCACTAAAAATGAGAAGTTCTTTTTTTCAAAAAAAGAAGAAATAATTTTTGAAGAAAAAAAAGCTCATCCAAACGGGCCCTTAATTTCGTTGATTTCTCCCAAATATGTCACAATTATTCCTTATTCGGTACAATTTGGAAATATTATTACTTGGGAAATCAACATAGAAGTATCTACTTATTGTAGCCATGGATATTCAAGAGTCATACATGAAAGACTTTGGGATTAAATACAGTATGCTATTAGGCATAATGTTATTGTTGAATTATATTCTTAGCTTTTGAACTTATATTATTATTCAACAAAATTTAATTTTTAAATATGATGTTAGGTTATTATCACTACTAGTTTAGTTATATAATATATAACATTTTTTCATATAAAGTATTTTTTAATATAATACTTCTATATTAAATTTTTTATATAACATTTTTTAATAATATTCTTTTTTTAAAAATCTTTTGTTCTTCTAAGTTTTTCAGTTTAACAATTTTTAATGATTAAGGTTGTACATAACAATCATTCTGTTCCTTGACACTGTTTCTGAAAAGAAACAATTATTTTCTATTTCTATGTCTTAAAACAATTTCTGAGGGAAAAAATGTATTTGATAACATATTCTATTTTTATTCTGAGAATGAGAATTGTGTTTGATAACATAACAAATAATATAATAAAAAATAATTCATATTAAGCATAAAAAAAAATTTGTTTTCCTTTCCATATGGTGTGGTGATGGCGGTGGTGGCATGGTGGTGGTAATGGAGACTATAGTGTTGGTGGTGATGGCAGTGGCTATGACGATGGTGGTGGCGATGGTGGCGGTGTGGTGGTAGTGGCTTGGTGGTGATGATGATGACATGGTAGTGGTGGTGACGGAGGTGGCTGCGACGATGGTGGTGGTGGTGGTGGTGATAGCGATGACAATGGCGTGGTGATGGTAGTGATGATGGCATGATGGTAGTGGTGATGGCAATGGCTATGGCTATGGCGATGATTGTGGTGGTTGGTGACGGTGGTGGAAGTGGTGGTGGTGACAGCAATGGCTGCGATGATGGTGGTGGTAATTGGTGATGGTGATTGTAGTGGTGGTAGTGGTGGCAGTGGTGGTTGTGATGGTGGCGATGGGTGAAGGTGGTGGTGACGGTGGAGATGGCATTGTCATTGTTGTGGTGGTGGTGGCATCGTCGTGGTGGTGGTGGTGGCGGTGACAACGACATTGCGACAATGGTAGTACAACGACGACGGTGGCGGTGGTCGTGTCGGGATGATGGTGGTGGTGGTGGTGGTGATGATAGTGGTGGGTAGAGGTGAAACTGGGTCGGGCCGGCCTACAGGGGCCTACGGCTCGGCCTACATCAGGCTAGATCTGATCTAGTATATTTTGTATAATAGGACAAATTTGGGCCTTAAAAAAGCATGTTTAATAAAAAGGCCGTAGACCCACTTTCAAAAGGCCGGGCCTGTAAGCCTACAGGACGGCCTATATTGTTACATTTATTTTAAATAAAATAAAATAGAGTAAGTATGCCTTAAAGAAAAAAAAAGATATAAATTTATTCAATTGCAATTATTTATAACTTAATTATATTCGATTATATTTTAATAGAAATCTTACTTTATTTCTTATATAGGAGGAACCAACATCTCAACATGTTAGATTGTGTATATAAATATATTAAAAGATTTTTGGGAGAGGTTATACTTACTACAAACATCATGATGTGTTTGTTTGTTGGATTTATGTAGTTATTTTAATTTACATAGTATGAATTTGTTTGTTGGATCTGATGAAATATATGTTATTTAGTTTGAGCATTCTGCTTTTGAAAATGACTTAAATGCATATTCTATTAGTTTTGTTATGATTCATTATTCAGTTTGGACGTTGAAATTATGATTTTTGGTGTAGTAACATAATTTGAGTACTTTATAAAGTTGATTCATGGTTCTGCTTGGAAGTTAAAAATTAACAGGCTATGCATTAACTAAGAGAATGTGAGGCGCGTATAGCTACGCGCGCGAAAAGTTTGTTGTCTAATAGGGTTTCTTTCTGGAAATTTGCTGTTTCAATGGGGAACTTGAAGGAGATTCAGTTCGAATCGTTGAGTGTGACTAGGAAGAGTACGAAGCGCACGAAGAACGGTGATGAGATTTCGACGGGGGGACGTATGCGTGAAGTGGTGGATGAGTTTCAATCGGGAGGGAAAGGACTAGCGAAGCAGAGGTCATTTGCTGAGGTTACAGGGGTTGAAAATGGTGTTTCGGGCGAAACATCACCCTGGCTTATGGAGGAGGATGATCCAGATCTAGATCCTCTTGATCCGAATGAGGGAACCGTTTCTGAATCGGGTTTCCAAACTCTGGTTCGAGACGATGGTTTGGTGGAAATCAAGAGTAGCAGTGAGGTTCGTGCCCGCATGCGGCAGCGATGGAAGCATGCCTTGATAGTCAAGCTGTTAGGCAAGAGAATAGGGGTTGGTTTCATGAAAAAGAGATTGGAAGTGTTATGGGCCAAGGCAGGCAGCATTACAGTAGCTGACTTAGGGAATGACTACTTCTCTGTACGGTTCTGTTGTCTGGAGGATTTGAACTTGGCTATTTCGGGTGGACCTTGGGTGATCTTGGGGCATTACCTGGCAATTAGAAGATGAGAGCCTTGTTTTGATCCAGAGAAGGCCAACATCCACAAGGTTGTTGCATGGGTGCGACTTCCAGGTATACCACAAGAATATTGTGAGTTTCCTTTTCTTAATCATCTAGGATCTGTTATTGGAAAAGTTTTAAGAGTTGATAGGACTACTTCAACTGGTGATAGAGCTAGGTTTGCTAGAGTTTGCATAGAGATTGACCTAGCTCAACCTTTGAGATGGATGTATGTCTTAGATGGCTGTTTTAAAAGAATTGAGTATGAAGGTTTATACCTTATCTGTGTGAAGTATGGGAGGTATAGGCATAATGCTGAAATCTGCCCAGAAGCTGCCAAACAAACTCCTATGGATAAGTCTTGTGAGAATCCTGTGCAGTCAGGGGTGAAGGCTGATGTTCAAAAGGTAGGAGAATGGATGGTAGTCGAGAGAAGGAAGAAGGGTGGACTAGCTGCTTCTAAATACGATTCCAAGGGTTCCAGAATGTTTGGGGAAGACATCTCCAACTCGAAGATAGTGGGGGTTAAAGTTGATGGCAGTAGTGGGAGTGGGTTTCAAAAGAAGGTAGTTGAGATGGATTCTGGTGTAGTCTTTCCCAATCCTTTGGTGAACAAGGTGGAAGTGGGTGTGCAGGATGGAGGAATTGGAGTGAGGGGGTAATCTGAAGAAAGCTGCTGGCAAGAAGTCAGAGGAGAAGAATGATAATTCATTAGTCAACAAGGAAAATTCATCCTCGGTTCACAATCCTCCAGTTGATGAGGGGGAAATGAAATTCACAGCAAAGGCTTCAAACTCTAATAGAAAGAATTTAGGAGTGAAACAAGGGAATTTTATCTCTAAGAGGAACTCTGCTAAGGTCATGTCAGCTAAAGGGAAAGGAGTGCAGATTCCTACCCCTTCCATTCTGACTGCTGCTAGCAGTGAGCCTTCACAAGACTTCTTTCAGCAGGCTTCCTTTGCTAAAGTGAAGCAGCTAAAAGGTAAATTTTGGGGTGATTTAGCGATGGAGGCTGAGACCACTGACTTAGAAACTCAATTGGAAAATGTTGGTATCAATCAACAGGTGGTCAATCTGAGCAATGGGAGCAGTTTGATTTGTTCTGATCAATCTGACATAGTCGTGGGGGAATCTGATAAAGGAGTTGAATGTCATACCACCATGGAGATGGACCAGCTTCTCAGATCAGATTTGTCTAATACCTTGCATGGTTTGGATGGCTTAATTTCTGAAGGATGAGATGTTGTTATTCAGGAGGCTGTGAGTTGCAAGAACTCTGTAATCTTGCAACAACCTCAGATTTCTTTATGAATGTGATGTCCTGGAACTGCAGGGGTGCTGCTAAGAAGCAATTCAAGAGCACTTTCAGTAGGTTTCGAAGAAAGTTTGGAGTGGGTGTGGCTGCTATTTTAGAGCCAAGAGTTAGTAGAAATAAAGCTTTGAATATTATTCGAAGTTTAGGTTTTAATAATTTCATCATAGCTGATGCTCATGGTTACTCTGGTGGTATTTGGGTGGTTTGGGATCCGGTTGATGTAAATATTACTCTTATCAATAAACAGGATCAATACATTCATGTTTGGGTTGAATTTCCTGGAAAAGATGGCTTCTTTTGGACAGCAGTCTATGCCAGTCCCCAAGAGGAAAACAAAAGGCTGTTGTGGGAAGACTTGAAGCACATTGGTAGGACCATGAATGAACCTTGGCTGTTGTCAGGTGATTTCAATGAAATTTGTTCTATTTCTGAGAAAAAAAGGAGGTTGCCCAGCTAACATTAATAAATGCAGGATGTTTAGTGATGTCCTGGATGCTTGTGGGGTTTTGGATTTGGGAGGTAGTGGAAGTAGATTTACTTGGAAAGGCCCTAAATACAGTCATCTGGATAGAGTTTTTAAAAGGCTTGACAGAGCAGTGGCAAATGATTTGTGGAGGAATTGTTTTGAAGAAGCAGATGTTTTGAACCTTTCCAAAAAAATTTCTGACCACTGCCCTGTATTGGTTAGATTGGAGAAAGGTGATTCTTGTTGGAGGGAGAAACCATTTAGATTTATGGCTATATGGCAGAATGATCCAAGGTTCAGTGTTTTTTTTAAATCCAATTGGGACACTAGCTCTGAGTTGCTGAGTAGTTTGAAGTCTTTTACCCCTGCTGTTAAAGAGTGGAATAAGTCTGTTTTTGGGTTCATTTTGTTCAGGAAAAATAGGGTTTTGGCTCGGTTGGATGGAATTCAAAAACATATGTGCTTGCATAACAGTTGGCATCTGAAGGATTTGGAAGCTAAGCTACTAAGAGAATTATCTGAAATTCTTGACTTAGAAGAACAAATATGGTATCAGAAGTCAAGAGGGGAATGGATTAAGGGTGGAGATAGAAATACCAGATTCTATCACACTAGGACCCTGATTCGAAGGAAGAGAAACAGAATTTTGAAACTTCAGAATAATGGGAGTGGATGGGTTACTGGAGAGGAAAATTTAATTGAGTTAGCCAGGAATTTCTTCTATAATCTTTTCAAAGAGGATATGCCTATTGCTGAATGGAATCAAACTGGATTTTCCTGGCCAGTGCTCAGTAAGGAGGATAGGGATCTTTTGTTTTTGGATATATCCTTTGAGGAAGTTAGGAAGGCTTTTTTTCAAATGCCTCCTCTGAAGGCTCCAGGACCGGATGGGTTCCCTGCCTTATTTTATCACAAGAACTGGGATTTGATCAAAGATCAAGTGTTCAAGAGCATGAAGTGCTATCTCAAGAATCCGGATCAGATTAAGGAAATTAATCATACACTCCTTGCACTGATTCCTAAAATAGAGAGGCCCTGTTTCATGAGGCAATTTAGGCCTATTGCTCTATGCAACACTGTTTATAAGGGTCTTAGCAAAATCCTGGTTAATAAGATTAAGCCTTTTATAGGTAATCTTATATCTCCTAATCAAGTTAGTTTCATTCCTAGGAGGAATATCCAGGATAATATTATTATTGTCCAAGAGCTCATTCACTCCATTCATAGGATGACAGGGAAGAAGTGTTTTTTTTCAATCAAGATTGACTTAGAGAAGGCATATGACAAACTTAATTGGGGATTTATTAGATCATTTCTTGAAGAAGTTCAACTTCCTAGTGACTTGATTGCTGTTGTCATGGGTTGTGTTACCACACCCTTTATTGAAGTTTTATGGAATGGTTCTAAAACTCCTGGATTTCAGCCTCAAAGGGGAATAAGGCAAGGAGATCCCCTATCTCCCTACTTGTTCGTTCTCTGCATGGAAAAGCTTACTCATCTGATTATGGATGAAGTGGGAAAGAAAAACTGGAAACCTATTAAAGCTGGCAGATCAGGGCCTCAAATCTCCCACTTGATGTTTGCTGATGACATCATCCTATTTGCTGAAGCTTCTCTGAGTCAGTTTGCTTGTATTTCGGACTGTTTGCTTAAGTTTTCCAACATGTCAGGCCAAAGTGTAAGTATGGAGAAATCTTGTATTTATTTCTCTAGGAATACTTCTCTGGAGATTAGTAGTTCTATTGCAGATATTAGTGGATTCAAGGTAGTCAAGAGCATTGGCTGTTATCTGGGAGCTCTAATGAGGCATGGGAGGGCTAGTAGGAAGCATTATGCCAATATCATATCTAGAGTTCAAAATAGACTTCAAGGGTGGAAAGCCAAATGTATGTCTTTGGCTGGGAGAATCACTTTAGCCAAGAGTGTCATCTCAGCAATCCCAACTTATCATATGCAAAATAATACCCTGCCGATTCACATCTGCCAGGAGATTGAGGAATTGCAATGCAAGTTCATTTGGGGAGACTTATATGAAAAAAGAAGAGCCCATTATGTTGCTTGGGATCAGCTTTGTAAGCCTAAAGAATATGGGGGTCTTGGAATTATTAAACTTAGATTCCAAAATGAAGCTTTCATGCAAAAGATTTCTTGGATGCTGATTAATGATCAAGACAGTTTGTGGACTAAAGTATTACTTGGCAAATATGGAAAAAAAACAAGATCCCAGGAGAGGTTTCATAGTTAAACCAAGTGACTCTCCTTTATGGAAAAGCATCTGTTCTGCAAGAACTAAACTAGATCCTCATCTGGTTTGGGAAGTTGGTAATGGAATCACTACACTATTTTGGATTGATTGTTGGAGTGGAGGAAACATTAGTCTCTTTGATTTGGCATGTGTTAAACCCCCTAGTTCTGATCTGGATCTTAGGATTTGTGACCTTGTTAAGAATGAAATAGGTGGCTGGAAGTGGGATTATTTGAAGAAATATCTTGATGATAGCACTATTGGGAAGTTGCAAGGATTTCTGCCTCCTTCTCCTTCTGGGCCGAATGACAGACTTTGTTGGACCAGAAATAGTTCATCTAGGTTTATGGTTCGTAATGCATATTGCCAGCTGACAGATCCTATTGTGGGGAAGGACAAACTATGGTCTATGATTTGGAAATGGAAAGGGCCATACATAATTGCAACCTGCTTATGGCTTGCTTGCTTGAATAAACTTCCTGTGAGAAGTATTACTGGTCTATGGAGTGGTGGTGTGACTTATTGTCCCAGTTGCTATGACAATCATGAGACAATTATGCATGTTCTTAGGGACTGCAATAGAGCAAAGTTTGTGTGGGAGTGCTGGTTTGGAGGTGTAATTCCAGATAGTTTCATGACAGCAGTTGGTCTAGACTGGTTTCGGGCCAATATCTGTAAGTCCTTCTCATCTAGATTTTGGCATTCCTGGTATGAAATTTTCTTTGTCACTTGTTGGCTCTTATGGCGATGGAGAAATCTGTTGGTTCATGATGATACTTTTTCTTGGCCTGAAGATCCAATGAGTAAGATTCTAATCTTTCTAAAAGATATGAAAAAGAGCTGTAGCAGTGAACCCTTTTCTCAGGCACAGAAGGAACCTATTTCTTTTATTGGATGTGGCAATAGTATGCAGAAGGAAGCTGTCAAAATTTTAGTTGATGGAGTTGTTTCATTGAATACCAAAACAGGAGCTTGTGGAGGATTCCTATGTAATTCAAAGGGTGAGTGGATTTCTGGTTTCTCTCTCAATATTGGTATATGTACCAGCCTTGAAGCTGAGTTATGGGGAATATGGCAGGGGCTTCAACTTGCTGTGGGTTTAAAAATCCAGGAGGTTTGGGTTGGTTGTGATAGCCAGGAAGCTTTATTAAGTATCAATTCCTCTTCTGAATCAGATGGCAATTCCTTGTTAGTTAGGAAAATTAGGAACTCTTTACAGGCCTTAGAGTATGCTTCCTTTGAGTATATTCCTAGAAAAAATAACTCTTGTGCTGATGGCTTAGCCATTTTAGGTTTGAAAGGTAGGGGTGGTGAGCTGAATGTATATTCCTCTCCCCCTGCAAGTGTTTTTCCATTCTGGAATGACTTTTGTAATTTCTTGCTGATGGAGCATGTTTCTTTTGACATGCATCAGCTTTCAATTTAATTCATCTGGGCTAGGCCCTCCACTTTTACCAAAAAAAAAAAAAAATTAACAGGCTAACGGGCCAAACCAGGCCATTTGTTTTTTTATAAACGGGCCAAACCAGGCTAACAGTTAGACTCATACAAGGCTTGGGCCAAGCCAAATTAAAATTTTTTGACGTTGGCTTGGGCTTTTCGGGGCAAAGCTTGGCCCAACCCAGCCCACTTTCACCCCTAGCGGTGGAGAGTAATTGAGAAAAACAAATGTTTCTCATTTTGTATTTGAGAACAAAAAAAAAATTATTCTTTTTTCTGTTTCCCAGCCGAGAATAAAAAATAAATTGATTTTACCAAACGAGTTTTCTATCTATTTATATTCTCGGAAAGAGAAATTAAAAAAAAATTAATTCGGCAAAAATTGTCATGCATACCCTAAATTGCTGGGTCTACTTTAACCAAATTAATATAAATATTATAAAAAGTAAAATGCTAATTTCTGTAAACAAAAACGCTTCAATATAAATAACGGCAAAAAAAATTAAATTATTACTATTTTAATAAATAATTACGAATACATAGTTGTTTCGAAACTATCTACGGATCGATTGCACTCATTCACGCCCAAATTAGGCGTGACACCCAAGGCATTCACGCCTAATTTAGACGTGAATCTTCTGGTGTTGACACGTGGTAAAAAAAGTTAACTTACGAACCGTAAAACTTTGGAAAGCCATAACTTTTGACTCGGATATCCGAATGAGGTAATTCTTTTTTTGATTCCACATAACTTTTCGAGATCTACGCAATGACATCTCATTTGATATATTTTATCTCTCACAAACACAATTCAAATTTGCAATAATTGTATTATATAGTGTATTACAAAAAAAATTAAAAAAATATTATTAATAAGAAAAACAAAATAAAAATTTAATTTGTGATTTTAACTCAAAAATCAATTTGAAAAATCTGTATTAATAAAGAAAATAATTAAATAAATATTCTAAACACTTGGTAGAATATTATATAAATTTGTATATATTTTAATAATTAAATAAATAACCTTGTACACTATTTTTTTTCAAACACTTGGTAGAAGTATATATTTTAATATAACATTAAGTATCCTTATTTATAGATGAGTTAATTCACTTTGGTGCCATCTTTATAGTATTATTGTTGCAAATTTGAATTATGTTTGTGAGAGATAAAATATATCAAATGAGATGTCATTGCGTAGATCTCGAAAAGTTATGTGGAATCAAAAAAAAATTACCTCATTCGGATACCCGAGTCAAAAGTTATGGCTTTATAAAATTTTACGATTAAACTATTAATTTTTTGTGCCACATGTCAACACCAGACGAGTCACGCCTAATTTAGGCATGAATGCCTTGGGAGTCACGCCTAACTTAGGCGTGAATAGTCACGCCTAATTTAGATGTGAATGAGTGCAATAGATTCGTATATATGTTCAAAAATAGCAACTTATTCGTAATTATTTATTAAAATAGTATTATTTTAATATATTTTTTTCCCTATGAATAACTGTAAAGGTGAACTGTAATCAAAATAACGCATTTTCACCATCTAACTCCAATGGCCTTCATTGATTTTGGTGTTGAAGATTTCTGATGCACCATTCTCCGTTGCGTTTCTATTTCAAAGCCTAAATCGAGGTATGTTATTATTATTATTTTGATAAACAATCGAGGTATGTTATTAAACGAGCAGTATCGAATAATTTCATCCACATAAAAGCAGTGAGAGTTTTCGTGACAAAACAGGGAAATAGCATTGTAAGCTGTAACTCGTCTTCAGGCTTTATATCAGAGAGTGAGGCCCAGATTTGTTTGTAAGAATTCCTGTCTTTCTAGTTGTTCCTCAAATTTGGTGCAACAATTTCTTTGATCCTATCCTGCCTATTGGTATGATAGTTTATCTGATAGAGTTTTCTTTTTATTGAATTTAAAATTTCAAATTGTGCAAAATAAATACATAATTTTGAAATTTAATTGTTAAACCATTTAAAATTTCGAAAATTCAATTTTTAAAAGAATATTGGTATGATAGTTTATCTGATATGATAGTTTTGATTTTGGGATTTAATTTCTAAATTGCTAGGTCTACATTAACCAAATTAATATAAATATTATAAAAAGTAAAATGCTAATTTCTGTAAACAAAAACGCTTCAATATGAATAACTGTAAAAGTGAACTGTAATCAAAATAACGAATTTTCACCATCTAACTCCAATGGCCTTCATTGATTTTGGTGTTGACTATTTCTGACGCACCATTCTCCGTTGCGTTTCTATTTCAAAGCCTAAATCGAGGTAAGTTAAATGAGCAGTATCGAGTAATTTCATCCACATATGCAGTGAGTTTTCGTGACAAAACAGGGAAATAGCATTGTAAGCTGTAACTCGTCTTCAGGCTTTATATCAGAGGGTGAGGCCCAGATTTGTTTGTAAGAATTCCTGTCTTTCTAGTTGTTCCTCAAATTTGGTGCAGTTGAACGCTCCTAAATATAGAGAAATAACATTCTGCAACAATTTCTTTGATCCTATCCTGCCTAACAGAGTAACAGCAAAAGATTACAATTCCATCTTGCCCATCACTGAATTCCTAACTCAAAAGGTATTAAGTATAATGAATTAAGGATATGCTAGGCCAAAAAAGAAAATGATAAAAAATATACACTTAATGGGAACTCCTGACCTTATAATTTCAACTACATACATTGTTCACTTCGAATTAGTATTTTCTTTTCGAATAAGAAAGAATGAGGCGTTCATAGTTCTCTGTTGAATCTGTTAGTTTACACGAATTATGGTATGGCCAACTGACAGAACCAGACAACCAGAGAAACAGAAAAGCCAGAGACAGCATCACTCAGTTACGTCAGTCTAGCAAGCTGCGTCTAATAGTAATTATATTACACAGAATACATGGATAGTTTAGTCGCGGCAAAGATACACTTTACAACGGCAACAATGATACATAGCTTATATTTCTTCAGAGCCCAAGACAGCAAGTGGCAACAGTTCCTTCTGCATTACCCATCGAATAACAAAAAAAGTACGATTACAAAAACAAATCCTATCAAAATCAAACTTGTTAGACTCCAAGAAGTAACAAAGGCTTACAACAATAAAGAAGAGAACTATCACCTTTAGGGCAGTCAAAATGCTTAAGTATGCAGGTAATTGGCAGCCATCATTAACTCCAGAGTTAATTCAGGCTCAATAGGAAACTCGGTCTCCTTCCCACTAGCAAGAGCAACATACTCGTGTCAACACAACAATTTCCCCCCAAATAAAAAGAAAAAAAGAAAGACATAAAATGAGGGATTTCAAATCAAAGCTGTAGAGCTTGACTTCTCCGGGAAAAAAATATATAACTTCCAATATATAAAACAACTAAACATTATTTACCAAAAAAAAAAAAAACAATTAAACATTTCCAACTACCACCAAAGCAAGTCTATTGAAAAGTATTACAAAATGATGTGAAAGTCTACACATGGCCAGAGACACAGGATAAAAATATGGACCAGTGAGCCGAAATATCATTAAGGACAAGTGTCAATTCAAATTGGTAATGCTATTTGGTTATGTTTTCAGGTTGCCCAGTAATTTTCAAACAATGAATTATCCATTACGGGTTCAAAATATAGGAGGCAATAACTATATAATAGTTCACAAATCACAGTCACATCTGTATTCAAACTTCAACAGGAATTGTTTTACATGTTATAACAACTAAACATTCTCATATTAAGAGTACCCAAAGAGAGTATGGATGGGAACACAGCTGGCCAAGCATCGATTTTAACTTCTTTATTCAATTGCAATTCTACCATCCTCCAAAAAACCTTTCTTTGGTTATGCTTAGTAAAAGCTATCAAAACCATCCGACATTTAAAGACTATATCAATAAAGGCCAAGGCCAATGCCAACAAAAGATCTATTAAAAACATATGAGATACATTGAGGAATCAAAAACATGAATCTAGGATATGTAAAAAACGGGGATTTAGGTATGAGATCAAGTGATAAGCATCAATATTATGATAATGAAATGAAAAAGAATAAAAGAATTGCAAGCCAACGAAAGGTCAATAATTCACTCTGAGCTTAAGTTAAAGAAAGCACCTAAACACATGATATATTATATATCACATCAGACCAAACCCCTTCAACGGAGAACTAAATTCCACAAAAATCAATACTCGATAATCCAAATCAGAACACGAACAATAATCTTCCATGTAGGCGTTTTAAGATCCAAAAAGTAAAACATCAACACTCACATTCTAGAAACAAATAGTTCAACAATACCTGGCAAATTGAAGATGCCAATAGAAATACTGGCAAATCTTCTCGAGAATGGTGGTGCTGATCTCAGGAAAAGTAACTTCCCCGTGCTGCCTTTCAGCGAAACTCCCTATCAAAGTAAACGAATTAGACGAGTTCATGTAAATTTCACTGAAACCTGGAACCCTAATTGCACTATCCCAAAAACAACGAATCGACGAAATGGAAGGTGATTAATCTAATGAGAGAAACCTGGAGAGGTAAGCATGTTGTGAATGGTCTGTGAAACCATAGCAGCTTCTTTATCGACCACGAATTCGAAACCCTCGGCACTGATCAGCTTCACTGTGTCTTCCTTCTTCATCTTCTTTCTCCGTTCCGTGTCGCGTTGGTCGCGATATTCCAAATTCCGTTTTGAAAACGGATCCGTTGCAATCTCGGTGTTACCGGGTTGTTGGATGGGTCCCACCCACCCATCTATCTGTATGGATATGGACAGGCCCAGTTTTCTGTTATAGGACACTAGTCAAATACATATTCAATGGCTATTAATAGACTCTTATTCTTGCCCAACCATTGCCACCTTGATAAAGAAAAGTCCAATTGCTTGGGTCTAGTCTAGTGGTAAATTAAAAATATACACGTTCATAACATTATCATTCATATTATGCAAAATTTAAATTTTGACAACTTGTGTTGGATTTAGTCAATAATTACATAAGTTTATGAATGTGGTTTATATATAACCATCAAAACTATAACTGGTGAATGTCTGGACTTTTGATTTATTTATTTTTATTAAAACATTTCCCAGAGTTTGATTCTTTGCTATGAATATTTTATTGGTTCAACTACCGTGACCAGTTTATTAATATTAAATTAATAAATGGACGAAACTACTAGAAATATTGATGCATAACAAAATCGGAATACAAGTCCAGCTTAATTAATTTGTGTTAGCGGAAAGTGGTTTTCCATGGTGAAAAAAATTGTAGGCATGTATCGTATGTTAATAATTAAAGAAGTGACTCTTGAATCTAGTCGTAAACCATAAATTTAACCTTAATGCCCCAAGCCTAATTGACTAAAAATTACCATTAAATAAGTAAATACTGTATTGTCAAAAAAAAAAAATAAAGATGTTCAATTTTTCCTTTTGAAATTTTTTTTTTACATGTTTTAGAGTTGACGAAGTAAGATGGTGGTTACCAAGTGGTAATAGTCCAGTTATCGCATTAGAGTTGAGTAGGTAGGTCAGAACTTGTATTCATTTTTTTCAGTATTATATTTGAAAAGAATTTAAAATCTTTTTTTTTTAATAAATCCAAAGGTATCCTCATCCCTTCGGAATGAGATTAATCTCATTCGTGAATTGAAGCGATATAGGACTCTCCACTGACCCCAAAGTTTGCCTTGCACGATTCGAACTTCAAACTTTTTAGACTTACGAGCCCGATACCTGGAGCTCAGCACACTACCAACTGAGTTACACCGCGGGGTTAAGAATTTAAAATTTAATGCTGAACTTATCTCGAATCAGATTAATTATGAAACAATAAATCAATTGTAATATTTTAGTGAAGTTTTGATTGGATAGCCGATTGAGGAGAGGCATAGCATGTTAACACACAATGACAACCGAGGAAAGGAACAAAAGACGCCAACAAAGAAAAGCGTGGAAAAACACAGGCAAGGCACCTTGTCCTTATGTAACACATTCCACCCGCCAGCCTGCCACAGCTTAGTCTACAGTCAGCTCCATCTCCCTGCCTCAATTTTGTCTCATCCTTCAAAACGACACAGTTCCTCCTCTATAAAAAAACCACAACAAATTTTTTTTAAAAAAAAAAAAAAACTTATTTATTTGTCATTTTCTGGCTCACTGATATTTCCATAAATATAAAATATGCACCTTATTTATATTTACTAAAAAAACACCTGTATTTGAAAATAGATTAACATAAGTAATTGTATGATTTTATATTTAAATTTATTTCATATATAATAAGGTTTGTATATTAAAAGATAATAATATTATCATCGATTTAACATTTTGATTTTTGCAGGAAAAATATTTTTTTACCACACTTACACAAAAATAAATGTAAATGAGTTCTACTAACTTCTTTTATTTCTTTTCAAGATGAGATTTATTCATACTTTTATACAAATTCGGCAGAAAAAACATTTTTGCAACAAAAAAGAAGAAATGTTTTTCCTTATTATCATTTTAACTTACGAATAGAGGTTATGGTCTAATTAGGTGAATAGTGAAGCTTATTTATTTGGTGCTCCAATTGCTTTCTGACTCATCGACATTTCCGTTTTATCACATTGGCCAATTCGGCCACCCTCCTCTGAAAGACGTGAAAAAGCCTCCACTCCCTCTTCTCCTCCTTCATCTCAGTCTCCACTAATATTCTCTGCTGTTCGATCGGTTACCCGAACCGTTCCCTACCACAGTCTCTCAAGTTCCTCAGTTCGCTGAGCTAGCAAGTTAAAAACCTCACCAAACGCATTGCATTTATCAATTTTCTTTGCTGTCTCTTCTTATAGGTGTCACGGTTAGTTCTTTTTGTTTCCGATTCAATTCGTAGATCTGTTGTTTCAATTTTTATTTTATTTTATTTTTTTGTTGTGCTCTTTTCTGGTTTGGATCTGAATGAATATTCGGTGATGTTTGGGGTCGGATCTGGTAGGTTCGAGAGATCAGAGAGGAGAAGACCCATGGCAAATAGGGTGGACCACGAGTATGACTATCTGTTCAAGATCGTTTTGATCGGAGACTCTGGTGTGGGCAAATCGAACATTCTCTCCAGATTTACTCGAAATGAGTTTTGCTTGGAGTCCAAATCTACAATCGGTGTTGAGTTTGCAACCAGGACCCTTCAGGTAGTTTTATTTCCTCTTTCTTTGCTGATTGATCCTTATTTTTTCTTCTGCTTTAATTTCTGCATATATAGGTATTAGAGTATGGTCATTTATTTTAGTTTTAAATTTTTCCTTTTATATACTTTAGGTGCTGTTATGAAGTGGAGCGGATTCAGATTTATATTATCTTTAAAAAAATTATTGATTAAGGTCCAAGCCTGATTTGTTGTGCCTTCAGATGGATAGCTTCTTAGATAAAAAATAATAATAATAATTCAGATTTTGTTGTGCCCAAGTATATGAGTAACCAAATATGATATGGTCGGTGTTGAGAGTAAATAAAAAAAAAAAAAATTCAAGTTGAAGTTGTTTTGAATGTGCTGATATGCAGAGATGGCTTATGAATGCTTGTTTGTATTAAGTTATTATAATGGTTGTTTCTTTATCTTCCTCTACAGGTAGAAGGAAAGACTGTTAAGGCACAGATCTGGGACACAGCGGGTCAGGAGCGATACCGTGCCATTACCAGTGCTTATTATAGAGGAGCTGTTGGTGCTCTACTTGTATATGACATAACTAAGAGACAAACCTTTGACAATGTTCAGAGGTGGCTGCGTGAATTGAGGGACCATGCGGATTCTAATATAGTTATCATGATGGCTGGGAATAAATCTGATTTGAACCATCTTAGAGCTGTTTCAGAGGATGATGGTCAAGCATTGTCAGAGAGGGAAGGTCTCTCTTTTCTTGAGACATCTGCACTGGAAGCAACCAACATTGAGAAGGCATTCCAAACCATATTGACTGAGATCTATCATATTGTGAGCAAGAAAGCACTTGCAGCTCAGGAAGCAGCTGCTGGTGCCTCACTTCCTGGACAAGGAACCACCATCAATGTTGCTGATGCTTCTGGGAGTACAAAGAGAGGCTGCTGTTCCACTTAGTGTGATATTTAAGGAAAGAGCGTTGCTAGTTAATAGTATTTTTTTTTCCCCAATTCTGTTTTTGTCCCTTTCTCTCTCTTTCTTTCTTTCTTTTTTTCCTTCTTTTTTATGGGTGAGAGATAAACATGTAGAGTATGTTTACTTCATTGAGTTGCGACCGGGAAGCTTGTGAAATTTAAAAAAACAGTAGTGTTGCTAGTTTCTTTGGCTTATCTCTTCAGTGATGTGATAGTTTTTCATGAATTGATGTAATATTGGAACTGACAGATATTGATGATATAGCGTGGTTAATGGGACCTGACATTGCAGAGAGGCCATGTAAGATTATACATAGCTTCAGGCTTTTTGTTAATTCATTGTTGTTCTAAGGCTACTTTTAGACCAGCTAAACAGAATATATGAACATCTCTTTTGCAATCTCTTTTACCATATAAACCCGTTAGCCACTTCTGGAGGTAAATTCAAGCACGTCATTTGCAAATGCATGAATATAAGTTCAATTTAAGTTTAAACTGAAGAAAGTTAAGATGGAACAATTTATCAACTACGGTGAGAGCGTTTCTTTTTTAATTCAAACTGCAAAGAGTTGCATTTTGTTAATCTTAAAGAATTAAGACCTTTAAGCCTTTGCATTTTCGTGTATTTCAGTTGTTTAAAGTCAGAACAGAAAAGAATAAAGCACCTCTTGTGAATTTATATGACGATGCACCCGCGAATAATTAATAAGTAGAAAATGAAGGAGGGGAAAGGAATGTAACCTTACTCAATTTGTATGGTTACATGTTGTATTTGATATGTTTTTACACAGTAATGCTTAATCGTGCCTAGTAAATCAATGGAACTGATGCCAGGCTCAGCCACTACATGGCAAGATAGAACATTTTTCCCGACTGTTATGGCCCAAACGTGCAAGTCATGAACATCCTGCACTCCCTTGATACCTCTGAGGCCATATTCCAGCTCAATGATATTGATCCCGCTTGGTGTCCTCTCCATCAGAATGCTATAAATATTCCTAAGCATTGGCAGGGTAGTACTTAAAGATAAAACAGAGAATATAAGAGTGCATAAAAGATCAACCATAAACCACTCTGGTTCAGCCCATACTATGGCTCCAGCAATCATCACCCCAACAGATTGAATCATATCAACCATGACATGCAAATAGGCCCCTTGGAGATTTATGTTCAAAACATTAGTATTTTTCTGACTACTTGAAACCAGGGCAAGGTTCTCCTCATCAGTTATTTTAGGTAGCTCATCCATCCCATGATCATGATCTGAGTCTCCACAACCATGATGATGACTATGATCATGATGTGAGTCTCCACAGCCATGATCATGACTATGATCATGACCAAGCCATACAACCATGATAAAGTTAAGAACAAATCCAAATGCTGAAATTGTAAACATGAGCATTCCATTCACCCTCTCATTTTGGTGAAGAAGTCTACCAACTGCTTCATATATTAAAAAACCAGATATACCCCAAATTAACTGCACAGATATAAGAGCACCCAAAACTTCAAGACGATTGTATCCAAAAGATTGATGGGGTGTTGCCTCCCAACCTGAAGCCCAAACTGCAAAGAGAGAGACAGAGAATCCAGCAATATCAGAAAGCAAGTGTGCTGCATCACCGATGACAGCTAGGCTGTGGGCTTTTACACCACCAATAACTTCCACAATCATAACAATAACATAGAAAACTATGAGTAAAGAAAGTTTCTTTGCTGACTTTGATGACTCTTTTGATGCCACAACACTGTGTTCATGTCTGGAAAAAGGACAAACAGAATTGCAAGATGACCCCGTTGTCATAGGAAGAACATCAACTTTGTGCATCTCAATTTCCTCCCTGGAACTTGCTTCCAAGATTGGGGCTTTCTCGTGTTCCATTTGCTTCAACGAAATGGGTCTTTTATAAAACAAATGAAACATTCATAAAAAGGAGTCGCCAAGGCTTAGTCAATGATTAAATTGCCTGCACCAACACCTGAAAGACCATTCAAAATAAGAAAAACGATTTCAGATGGGGCCATGTTTTGGTGAATTGTGAAAATGTTTGACAAATTCAAAACGAAGGAAGAATAAGTTATTGTGGTTGGTAAAGGACAAATTTGACAGCTTCAATTTGAAGAAAGAAGTGGGTATTGGGAAAGTGACAAAATCATAGAAAGAAGCAAAGCGTTTCAAGTGTACATCACGTACCAGTACAAGCGAAGAACGTAGCGTCCAGATTGAGAGTGGACAAACTGAATTGGAATTTCAGAATTGTTGTAGCTGATACAATGAAGTGAGAAAGAAAGGGCGAGAGATTCGAAAGAGAAAGCAAGATCAATGAGTTGTTGATGTTAACGGGATCTTGTCGTGGTTCACATCCATCGGCAAGAGAGTTAGCGGCTAACTACCAAGGACAAACAAAAATGTGTTCTTTCCGATGCCAGAAATTAGGGGAAAACAAAACCTAATACTATACGACGCATTAGCAGTAGTACGATAATAATTTAGTAATTTTCAGTTTATAAAATTGTAACTTTTGATCATAATTATTAAAAGTAGTTTATTGATAGTATTAATTATGGATAAAAATATAAGATTAAATTAATTATTGTCAATATAGAAATTTTTTTATTACCATGTATTATCGCTTAATTTAATTTCTTGTATAATTTGATATTAAAAGATGTTTTTGGATACAATATATGCAAAAATAATGTGCCAAATCAGTTATGTGAGCCAAAATTAAACTCAAATTTAATTATTGCTAATGGTGATATTAATTTGTTTAGTTGATGTAATTATTTAAGTAACATTATGGACATGTCTACCAAAAAAAATATTATGGACATTATTTTGAGACCTGATAGTTATGAAATAGCCTAGGGCAGTGGACAATATATCTTATTTATGTTGAGTTATGATTAGGATATGATTATATGTTAATCAGGTGTAAATGAAAAGGGTGAGAAATGTTTCCAGTGATTCAAAATACAGACGAAATACCGTCCATTTTATTTTGGCTATGGAAGTGATAAAGTTTACAATACATAAGAAAAAATAAAAGATTAATTACATTTTCATACTACGCCTAGTCTAGGGAATTAGAAAAGAGCTTCCGCATTTAATATTTTAAGTATAATGCGCTTATTATCATATGAATATTAATTAACTGGCTGCAGATGAGGCATTACAAAGGATCTAGATCCTCTCGTGTTAAAAAAGTGACATGGTCATGTGAGAAATTATAACCATACAAAGGTGGATAAATTATGATAAAAGAAAAAAGAGAAAAAATATTGAAATAGATAATTACAAAATCATAACTGTTTATTAATCTATGTATGATTGTGATCTTCTCACCATTTCATTATTTTTAATATGCGATGATTCATTTCCATGTATATGTATTGTGTTGAGAATCTCACGCAAGTACTTAGTTTATCTGCTTTTCTAGAAATTTAAGCCCCAAAAGTTATGGCTATACGCATACTCACTAAAATGAATGTCTATTTGTCGAAAAATATTTATCTTTTTAAATGACACAATTTATATTTTTTCACTTTCACAAAGAGGTGAAATCCACACTTTTATTTTTATGTCAATTCTCTTTCCTCATTTATCTATTTTTTTCTCTCTCTTGAAATAACACAACTTTACATCTTTAAAATGACACACACTTTTTCCTTTGCCTAAAAAAAAAATGAATGTAATGTTGCATGTCATTTTTTGTGTCATGTTTTTTTTTTTTTTTTTGAGTGAAACTCACATTAAATTTATTAGAGTGACACGACACAAGAAAAATGCAACATGACATTCATCTCTCCATTGTCCAAATTATATAATAATTATTTTTGTAATTTTTTATTAAAAAAAAAAAACTAGTATGTATACCTATTGTGTTGAGAATTCAAATCCTACCAAAAACACTTTTCTTATATTTGGAATTTTTATAAAATAAGAAATTATTTGATTTATAAATCTTATCGAATATTATGTGATTTTTATGATTTCCTTTGATTTTACATGAGTTATTTTACGCCCATGAATATAAATAATGGTAAAAGTTTTACCATTATTGATGTACATAGGTCGTCTCCTGTATTAGAAGGGTATATAATGTAGAATTATAAAATAAATTAAATAGATTTCATATCTAATTCAAGCATAACAATCAAATTTCAAATCAATTCAAATTCAAATATTTGTTAGTTTGACCTTTTTTTATTTGAAAAAAAAAAACACTATTGCGTAGATATACCGTGTTGAGGATTCAAAACCTACCAAAAACACTTTTCTTAAATTTGGAATTTTGAAAAATAAGGAAAAGCAATTGTTTGATTTTGAAATTTTTATTGAGAAAGATTATATTTACAAACTACATAGTGAGAAAGGATTATATTTACAAATTACATTATGAGAAATGATACTGTAACAATCAACTTGTGTTACTACCATGTTACTACCAACATAATTGATCTAACAATGAAACTGATTGGTAGTAACATGGTAGTAATACAAGTTGGTTGTTACAATATCATTCTCCCTAAATTATTTATAAATTCTTACAATCAAATCTTAACCGTTGATTTTCGGCAATCTAATGATTATAATTATTGGAAATTAATAATTAATTAATCACTTTCCTTTTTTATATATTCTAATTATTTGATTTATATGTCTTGTCAAATATTATATGTTTTGCTATCATTTGGTTTGATTTTACATGAATTATTTTACCATTTTTTTTTGGTAATCTAATTATTTTACCATTATTAACTATACATGGGTCTCCTGCATTAGAAAGATATATAATATAAAATAATAAAATCAAATCAAATAATCAACAAAATTTGGCACAGTTGATAGATAGTTGAGTACTTTAAGCATCTTGACAAGGGTTTGATCTCTGACCGTGTGTATAAAAAAAAAATTGTTGGGAGAGGTTATACCCACGATTGCGCAATCTCTCCGCCTCGAGGGGATTAACCCTTGATTTTTGACTGAGGGATACCCTTGAAACAATTTTCAAAAATAAATAAATAAAAAATTAAAAAATCAAATAGATTCATTTCTATTTATTCCAATCATAACTACTGGTTTTTCATTTTCTAAAAAAAATAGTACCCTTAATATTACTAGGAAGGTCGCTAATGAGATGCTTGTGATTTAAAAGGAGAGGAACCCCTTTTTCTGTAATAAAATTACTTAACGAGTAAATATTTTTTTTGGTGCTTAGCAAATTTCACGATACCGACTTTAGTCTCTAACAAATAAAAAGACTATTTGTGGTCCTTAAGAAATTAAAAAATGACTTATTTAGTTGAAATCGTGGTCCCTCATAAATTTAAAAAAGATCCATATTAATCCCTTAAAAAGACTAAAATGGGTCAATTTGAATTTCTTAGAGACCACGAATAGCCTTTTTATTTGCTAGGACTAAAGTGGACATCGTAGCCGAGGATCGAAAATGATATTTACTCTTACTTGACTAGTTACTGGACATTAGAGTGTGTATGATAATTTTTTCAGAATCAAATTTTTAAATTTTTTTATTCTGAGGAATATAAATAATTAGAAATAATATTTGACAAAACTGATTTATTTCTTTTGCTCTCGAAAATAAATCGATTTAATTTATGTTATAATAATAAAAAAATTGGAAAAAATTGATACTCTTTATGCCTCCTATTTCCAATCATGTCGTCTTCTACCTATTAGGTAAATTTCTCCTCTCCTCTCCTTCTCTTTGTGACTCAATCTATTCAAAATATTGTTACTCTTCCTCCCCTCCCTGTTATATATTTTATGAAATTTATCTCCCATACATTTTTCTCTATATATCTATGATCTATCCATTACCTCTTCTAGAGTCTCATTGCGTGCAGTGGCGAACTGAGAGTGAAACATTTTAGTTTTGGGAATTGAACAGTGAACCACAAATATTATATTTGTTTTAGTATTTTTATTGTATTGAAATATTTAATTTTTATATATTTTAGTATTTTCCTGAAATAATTATTATTTGTTAAAAAAAGTACATTACTAGGAAGGGCGCTAATAACATGCTTGTGATTTAAAAGGAGAGGAACCCCCTTTCTGTAATAAAATTACTTAACTAGGTACTAGACATTAAGGTGTGTATAATAATTTTTTCAGAATCAAATTTTTTAAAATTTTTATTTCGAGGAATATAAATAATTAAAAATAGTGTTTGACAAAATTAATTTATTTTTTTTTCTTGAAAATATACCGATTTAATGTATGTTATAATAATAAAAAAATTGGAAAAAATTGTTACTCTTTATGCCTTCTGTTTCCAATCATGTCATCTTCTCCCAATTAGGTAAATTTCTCCTCTCCTCTCGTTCTCTTTATGACTCAATCTATTCAAAATATTGTTACTCTTCCTCCCCTCCCTATTATATATTTTATAAAAAAATTGCAAATTTGTTCACACATTCGTATTTATCTCACATATATTTTTTTTTTATATATCTATAGTTACGCATAAGGGTGTTAATGGGCCGAGCCGAGTCGGGCTTTAATATAAACGTATCAGACTGACCTTAGCCTGTTACCTGTTACAAATATAATATTGGTCTGTGGCCTGGTTTATTTACAAAAATTAAAAGTCTGTCTTAGCTTGTTAAAAAAAAAATAAGACAATAGAAATCCACAAAAAATCAATTTCCAGATAGAAACCTTAGCTTCCAATTTGCATTAAAAAGTATAATAAAATAAAAATAATAAGAACAAATAATAGACTATCCATATGCAATTAAACCGTGTCAAATTTTTAAATATGATATTTGCGGTGGAATGTATATTTTTTTTTCAAAAACTCAAAATGTGGACTTAGTCACATTATTTAGCCCATTAATCATGCACTGATATGTATTTTTTTGTAAGAAAATAATAGTTGTTTCTTTCATAATAAAAAAACATATTAATATTAAAAAGTCAAAATAACAAGCAGCACATTTACTTTACGTCTTTGTTTTTCCTTGTAGAATTTTCTTGCACATTGTAGGTTTGAACCCCACCATCAACCTTAGTTTCTTTTTTATTTTTTTGTCATTTTTAATCTTTCTACATCTTATATCTTCATCTTCATATCTCTTGTTCGACGGAGATACAAAGTGCAGCAAACCAATCGCCGAAATGTTCATCTTCATATTCCATGGTGGAATGTTCATCTTCATAGATCCGGTCGCTTTTCACTGGTGACCGTGCCTCCATCTCCGAAATCATCACCACCACTTCGTTCCGCGGCCACCACACCATCTCGCCACCTCGCATACCACCTTGTCTCTTTCCCCATTGCGCTGACCACGCCACTGCTGCAGCTGCAAGTATCTTGGTGGTATGCATGATTCATGTTGGTTCAAGGAAGAAGAAGATGGTGGGGGTGCTGTGTAGCTGTTGGTTGGAATGGAGAAGAAGATGGAAGAACGGTAAGGTCTTTGGAGTGGGTGACGGTGTTTTCGCCGGTCAAGGAAGAGGACCATGAGTGGCTGAGTTCTAAAAATCATTTTATGGCAAGGAGATGGCTATGGAGGAAGGTGATTTGGGCGGTGGCTGGTTTCTTGGTTGGGTCGAGGAGGTGGGAGGTGGTCCGGTTGTGTTATTGGGAGTGGTCTTGGTTGGCGGTGGGTGTAGGTCGAGGTTTCTAAAAAAATAAAGAAAGAAAGAAGAGACCGTTCACATTAAAATGATTAATAAAAAAAAAAGTTAATGTAACGGGTCAGCCTCCCAAGCTCAAAGGTCGGGCTTATCCATGAAAGCCTCAGGCCTTTTAAATAAAAAGGCTTTTATATGTGTTCAAATTTGAGCCCAATAATAAAAAAGTTTGACTGGGTCAGGCCAGGTCGAAACAGGCCAGGCCTAAGGCCACTGGCCTTATTATCACCTCTAGTTACGCACACTCTCTTTCTTATTGTTATGTTGTCACTTTGCGCGCACACACCCCTTTGGCTAAGCCATATATTCTTCTTCTGTGCACAATGATCTGCTTGATTCCAGGATATCTAACTCATAGATATCTTAGAAAGGGCACCTAAATCCAAAAGCAACATACTAGCCCATTGAACTATCTCTAGACAGAACAAAATCTATTGCCGTGTTCAACTACTGTTCAAATGCTTCTGTCCAATTATTTAAATGTTATCTTTAATCTGTTAAAGAATTAGGGGCATGTTTGGTGCATAGTATAGGATAAGGCCTGATAGTATAAGGCCTGATAGTATAAGGCCTGATAATATAAGACCTGATTGTATAAGACCTGATTGTATAAGACCTGATTAAATTTTAATACTATCCAGCGCTTGGTATGATATTGTATAAAGATAATATCCTCCAATATTTAAAAAATTAATATATTAAAAAATTTATTTTAATATATAAATATTAAAATGATATATTAGTTCTTGGGAATTGTACTTGTAAACAATATTAATACATGAACCCCTTATCAGGCCTAATCCACCACTCCTAGGCCGGATTAAGTTATACATAATTTTGATGTATAAAGGGGTCCTGCTGTATAAGCTTATACTATACGATGGTCACACCAAACAACTGAAAATGTCATAACGTACAGTATAAGCTTATACTATCAGGTCTTATACATCACACCAAACATGCCCTAATAATTTCTGAAGTTAGATTTTGGTATTTCAACCCGATTTAACAAGGGTAAAATAACACTCTCCTTAAATTGAGGATTTTTTTTATTTTGTTGTTTAAATCATCAAGCAATTTATATTTTTTTTAAAGTTATATAAACACTTCTCAAAATATCGAATTTTCAATTTTGAATCTTTGATAGTGAATTCGAGTTTGGTAGGACCATATAGGCAACCAAATTCTTTATATCAATTTTTTTTAATTTTTTAATTTCTTTTAGTTTTTTTCTTAAAAGTAATTTTTAGCTTAAAAAAGAGATAATTTACAATTGATACCAGTTGAATTAAATAATTTATATTTCAATTGTATATATTATCATCTATGCTAATTTAGTGAGGGTTTCCGTGTGAAAATATTAAGGGGTGTATTGGATTATGATTTTAAAAGACTTTTTTGAGCTAAAAAATCTTATAGATTTTAAAAGACCATTTAAAATTGGAGAGACTCTAAAGACTTTTTTAAAAGACTTTTTTTACAATCAAGATTTCTTAAGATTGGATTTTTAAGGATTTCAATAGAATTTATAAGATTTGAAAGGACAATATGGATTTATAAGATTTTAAAAAATCATATGAATTTTTAACAAACATTCAAAATTACAAGAGTCAATAAAAAGGGAAAGATTATACTTACAACCTATTTTGTTTACAACCATATCTTAACCGTTAATTTTCATAAATCAACGATTATCATTTATTGCAAATTAAATATTAATTAATGAGTTTGATTTGCGAAAATAATAACCGTTGATTGACGGAAATCAACGGTTAAGATATGATTGTAAAAGATTGTAAACAAAAATAGGTTGTAAATATAATATTTCCCATAGAATGTTTTGTTTAAAGATTTTTTAGCTCAAAAAAGTCTTTTAAAAAAGTCTTTAAAGTCTTTCCAATTCTAAATAGTCTTTTAAAATCTATAAGATTTTTTAGCTCAAAAAAGTCTTTTAAAATCCTAATCCAATACACCTCCCTTATATTTTTCACTAAAAAGTCTCACGAAATCCATACCAATAGAAAATCCATTTAAATCGTCGAATTTTTGAATATTACAAGATTGTGATTCCATTGTTTAAAATCTTGATTAAATACCAACGGATTTGGACGGATTCTAAAATAATCCTTTAATATCCTAATCGAATACCACGTGACTTTTTTTCAATTCATTAAAATTCTAATCGAATACCAATAAATTTTTTTATCAAAAAACAATCCATTAAAATCCTTTAAAATCTCAATCCAATACATCTCCTTAACGTCAAATCGCAATTCTATCAAAGACTTTTTTTTGGGCCAATATAAGCCTTCCCAGTAAATAGAGACACGGTGTAGCTGAAATAGGTTGAAGAAGAACCCAGTCCAATATTTTAACTGACCATAGCCAATTCCATTTCAGCCCAGCCCACAAAAGCAAAAAACCCTAGGTTTCGGATCATTGGCATATTCCTCATCATAACCTGATTCTCGTTTCACTATATAGCAACCACATAGACTGAACAAGCTGCGTTTCCCTTGCGGCCTCTCTCTCTCTCTCTCTCTCGCTCTCGCTCTCGCTCTCGCTCTCGCTCTCTCCTAGGTTTGTTTTCTCTTGCACAACAGAAGTTCTATACTAATGGAATCGTATCAGATCTCTGCTTTTATGATTGTATTTCTTCAAGATCTATGATTTAGATAAATAGTTTGTGATATTTTGTAAACTTTGTATGTCTCGCCTTTGTTAACTTACTTACTTGTTATCCTTGGCGTTGACCGATTTTGTAGCCTTTTTTTTGCATTCAGCATGTTTTCCCCTGACCTTGGTTCAACGAGGATTCTGATATTTGATAATTCATGGTGTATCTACAACATAGTTTTAGCTTTTGATGATATTAAGATTAGTTGTTTTTCTATTACTTTCTTTTTACATATCTGAATCGATTGTTAATTAGGTTCTGTTTGTTCGAGTAGTTGGAAATTGGGAATAGATTACCTGTAACGCTTATTAGTTATTACTACTGGGAAATAGTTGTTGATTTAACACAACCTCTTCCATTACGGATGTATCAGCCTTTGAGAAGTATGCTAGTGTTGGATCTTGTTGTTGCAGGTCTCCTGTATTTTGTTACTCTGATTTTTGTTTTCTGGGTATATGAAGCTTTATTTTGGGATTTTTCTTTTGTCAAATTGAGCAGAGGGTTCCAGGGAACGTTTAACAAACTTGAAACTATCAAACTTATAGGCTTATTGCCAACAAGTTGTCTACTTTGCTCAAATTTACTTGTTAGGATTCTAACTTGATTAACCTTGAATGTAGCTTGTAGTACTATTTAATGTATTGATAATTATTTTTGCTATTTTTTCAAGTTTGTATTTTGCGGTCTTGTAGGTTATTTTGATACTCTTCCTTTTTAATTTCTTCTGTTTTTGGGCTAATTTTTTCTTTGATTTTTTTTATTGCAGTCTCATTCTTTAAACTCTTTTTGGTGGAAACTAGGAAACAGTCAAAATGGTAAGTCAGCTTAAAGATACTGGTGTTGGTGGATTTTCATTTAGTATCCATCATGTGAACTGTGTGCTATGTCAATTTGTGCAGGTGAAGTTTACAGCGGATGAGCTTCGTCGCATTATGGACTACAAGCACAACATTCGTAACATGTCTGTTATTGCACATGTTGATCATGGTACGGATTAAACTGGCACAAATTTTATTTGTTCTGATTATTGCTTTTCTGTGATATCCTTCCTGATTTAAATTTGATCGTGTGATTTGGTCTTTGTAACTGGATATGGAATCATGGTTACTTCATTATTGTTTTTATGTTTAAAAAGCTTCTAGGGAACAATTACTTTGGCCCATTTGTCCTAATGACACTTCTTTGTTCTCTCTAAATGCAGGAAAATCAACTCTCACTGATTCTCTAGTGGCTGCTGCTGGTATTATTGCACAAGAAGTTGCAGGTGATGTCCGCATGACAGATACAAGGGCTGATGAAGCTGAGCGTGGTATCACAATCAAGTCAACTGGTATCTCTCTTTATTATGAAATGACCGATGAAGCTCTCAAGGCCTACAAGGGAGAACGCAATGGTAATGAATATCTCATCAATCTCATTGACTCCCCTGGGCATGTGGACTTCTCTTCTGAGGTTACAGCTGCCCTTCGCATTACTGATGGTGCACTTGTGGTGGTGGATTGTGTTGAGGGTGTCTGTGTCCAAACTGAAACAGTTCTCCGTCAGGCCCTTGGTGAAAGGATCAGGCCTGTTTTGACTGTTAACAAGATGGATAGGTGCTTCCTCGAGCTTCAGGTGGATGGAGAAGAAGCTTACCAGACATTTCAAAGGGTTATTGAGAATGCTAATGTGATTATGGCTACATATGAAGATCCCCTTCTTGGTGATGTTATGGTGTACCCTGAGAAAGGAACTGTTGCTTTCTCTGCTGGTTTGCATGGTTGGGCTTTCACTCTGACCAACTTTGCTAAAATGTATGCCTCAAAGTTTGGAGTTGATGAGTCAAAGATGATGGAAAGGCTCTGGGGTGAGAATTTCTTTGATCCAGCCACCAAGAAATGGACCACCAAGAATTCTGGTTCTCCTACATGCAAGCGTGGTTTTGTTCAGTTTTGTTATGAACCCATCAAACAGATAATTGCAACTTGTATGAATGATCAGAAGGATAAGCTGTGGCCTATGTTGCAAAAGCTTGGGGTCACCATGAAATCTGAAGAGAAAGACCTGATGAGTAAAGCATTGATGAAACGTGTCATGCAAACCTGGCTCCCAGCAAGTAGTGCACTCCTGGAAATGATGATATTCCATCTTCCCTCCCCCGCAACTGCCCAAAGGTATCGTGTGGAGAATTTGTATGAGGGTCCCCTTGACGATACTTATGCAAATGCTATCAGGAATTGTGATCCTGATGGCCCTCTGATGCTTTATGTCTCAAAGATGATTCCTGCATCTGATAAGGGTAGGTTTTTTGCTTTTGGGCGTGTCTTTGCCGGTAAGGTATCTACTGGTTTGAAAGTCAGAATTATGGGTCCAAATTATGTCCCTGGGGAGAAGAAAGACTTGTATGTTAAGAGTGTGCAAAGAACTGTCATTTGGATGGGAAAAAAGCAGGAAACTGTTGAGGACGTGCCTTGTGGTAACACAGTTGCCTTGGTTGGATTGGACCAATTTATCACCAAGAATGCAACTTTAACAAATGAGAAGGACGTTGATGCCCACCCTATCCGTGCTATGAAGTTTTCTGTCTCGCCTGTGGTTCGTGTTGCTGTCCAGTGCAAGGTTGCATCAGATCTTCCTAAGCTTGTTGAAGGTCTTAAACGGTTGGCCAAATCTGATCCTATGGTTGTGTGTACTATGGAGGAGTCTGGAGAGCACATTGTTGCTGGTGCTGGAGAACTCCACCTTGAGATCTGTTTGAAGGACTTGCAGGATGATTTCATGGGTGGAGCTGAGATTATTAAGTCTGACCCTGTTGTGTCCTTCCGTGAGACTGTCTTGGAGAGATCTTGTCGCACTGTGATGAGCAAGTCACCCAACAAGCACAACCGTCTGTACATGGAAGCAAGACCAACGGAGGATGGGCTTGCAGAGGCTATTGATGATGGCCGTATTGGTCCAAGGGATGACCCCAAAGTTCGTTCTAAAATTTTGTCTGAAGAGTTTGGTTGGGATAAGGATCTTGCTAAGAAAATCTGGTGTTTTGGACCTGAGACCATGGGACCTAATATGGTGGTTGACATGTGTAAGGGTGTCCAATACCTGAATGAAATTAAAGACTCTGTTGTTGCTGGGTTCCAGTGGGCAGCAAAAGAAGGTGCATTGGCTGAAGAAAACATGAGGGCCATCTGCTTTGAAGTTTGTGATGTTGTTCTGCATACTGATGCTATCCACAGAGGTGGTGGCCAGATCATCCCTACTGCAAGGAGAGTCTTCTATGCTTCCCAGTTGACTGCCAAGCCTAGGCTTCTTGAACCTGTTTACCTGGTTGAAATCCAGGCACCTGAGCAGGCACTCGGTGGCATCTACAGTGTTCTTAACCAGAAACGAGGGCATGTCTTCGAGGAAATGCAGAGGCCTGGTACCCCATTATACAACATCAAGGCATATCTCCCTGTCATTGAGTCCTTTGGGTTCTCCAGCACATTGAGGGCTGCAACATCAGGGCAGGCTTTCCCACAGTGTGTTTTTGATCACTGGGACATGATGTCATCAGATCCATTGGAGGCTGGATCACAAGCTGCACAGCTTGTTACTGATATTCGCAAGAGGAAGGGCTTGAAGGAGCAGATGACTCCACTTTCTGAGTTCGAGGACAAGCTTTAAATATTTGGCCTACCCATTATGAATCTAGCTGAGAATTTATGTTGAACCGTAATAACCTGTTTTAAAGTTCAGAATTGTGATTTTTGTTTCCGTTATTGTATTTTGTTATTTAAATGTTCAAGGAAAAACTCTTCTTATATTGTATTCAACTGGAAGTTATCTTCTTGCGGGTTTGTGACTGTAGATTGGTAAAGTGCATTGCAGTGATGTCGATTGAACTATTTATGAACTATTTATATTTATGTGTTACTGTGATTTTGTGTTTCATCAGGTTTCTAGGCTTTCATTAAACTTCTTCTTGCGGGTTTGTGACTGTAGATTGGTAAAGTGCATTGCAGTGATGTCGATTGAACTATTTATGGGAGTTTCAGTTAGAAGATACTCTTATTTCCGTTGACAATATTTATGTGTTACTGTGATTTTGTGTTTCATCAGGTTTCTAGGCTTTCATTAAACTTCTTCTTGCGGGTTTGTGACTGTAGATTGGTAAAGTGCATTGCAGTGATGTCGATTGAACTATTTATGGGAGTTTCAGTTAGAAGATACTCTTATTTCCGTTGACAATATTTATGTGTTACTGTGATGTTGTGTTTCATCAGGTTTCTAGGCTTTCATTAAACTTTTTCTGTTTAGTTTATGAATTTGGTTTGTTTGTGTTCCGTGACGGGCATTCAGGCTCATAAGCTTTTCTAGTGTACGCGATTCCAGTTCATCTGGAGACGTTTTTCCATTAAAGAGAGCCTAAATTGGATAAATTGTTCAGTCCATTTGATGCTATAAGCTGCGTATGCTATATTAATTGCACGTTGATCATCATTTTGTTACTTATTAGGACAAGTCAATCTCGAAATGAGAAGTCTAAACCACAGCAACAGTTGAACTGAAACACGTTTAACGCATATAATAAAGTGATAATATCCAACATTTAGCACCATTCATACACGGCCAACTACATATTACACACGGTCAATAATTATAAAGACAAACTTTGTCATTAGTGCAATTCCAATCTATGACATTTACTAGAAATTTCACCCATCTGAATGATATAAATTGAACCTCGGTGATTGTCACACCATTTATTTATTCTTAATATTAATATAAAAACTAATACAAGTAGAGTGAATCAGACGAAACACCGAAAGTCTTGCTTATATATAGAGACCATTGACCGTTATCCCACCATCAACACATATGGTCTGTCCTGTTATGAGAGAGGCTGCAGGTAAGCAGAGGAATGCCACCAATGAAGACACTTCATCTGGTTCTCCAATCCGTCCAAGAGGTGTTCGTGAAATAAAACTATTAAGAACTTTTTCATCTTTGAAGTGCTGCAAGGAAACAATGACAAGGGTCCCTCAGTTTAGAGATAAGAAAACAAATGATAAAACCCAAGAATTGTTGGTCCGACCTAGTTAGATTTCAGGATTTGACCTGTCCAAAAGATAATTGGTTCGATTATTGAAAATTGTAATTCTTGAAAAGGGTGAAGAGGCTCAAATTTCAAAGCCAGATTATTCGAGAAGTCCGAAACCAATTTATACCTTAAAAAAAAAGGAAAAAAATGATAAAAGAATAATGTACCAACTATATAAAATTACCTTTTCACCAAGAGGGGTTCTGATTGGCCCTGGTGCAACGCAATTAGTCCTTATATTGTCTTTTGCCCACTCGCATGCCAAATTTTTTGTCAATTGGTTGATTGCTCCTGCATGTTAGAACACATTTACTATTTTACTCCACCTACTTTTACATTTTTATTTATTTTTAATGTCACGTCTTATTTGTAATTTTAGCAAGGAATATAATTCAGCTCAGTAATGAGCTGTTACAAATAAAAACTTGTATCAAGCACAATCATGCAGAAACAACAGACCACCGTACGAGGGACACCCATGTAGAAGCAGAACACCATTGTTCTCTTAATCACGTGGTCACATGTAACAATTAAGTAGTTTGTTTGTTATAGTAGTTAGGTTTCAGTTGTAACAGCTTTCATTAGCTAGTAGTAGCCTATATATATATATACACATATATATATATAGGCCTGGTCGTGAGTAATACACATAAAAGATTTGATAAATTATTTACCAATCAAATGCGAGTGAAACATGTTAACGTACATGTTTAAATCGCACATCATCTCCATACACGACTTATTCAAAAATTAGCACATCATCTCCATACACGACTTATTCAAAAATTAGCACAATGCAAGATGCACATCTTGTTAGTGCGCGCTCTAGTCGCACACCCCTCATAAGGTCAAAAGGCCTACCCTTCTCACTCTTCCTGAAGAAATAAGATGATGAAACAGTTACCTTTTGTTGCACTATATATGGATCCTAGTTTTATTGATACCACACCAGCAATGGAGGATATGAAAACGATACTTGCAGCCTCTGAAGCTTTTAGGAGAGGATGTGCAAGCTGGCTTATGTGGAAAGCAGACTCAAGATTCGTACTAATCAGAAATGAAAAATCTTCCTCTGCAAAATCCAGGGCCTGTTTCTGTATGTTTGTTCCCACGTTGTTTACCTAAATCCGTTCATAAATGTAAGCTAATAGAACAAATAATAATAACGTTAACCAAAAACAGAACTATATTCCAAAAAAGTGGATTTCAAATTAATCCTGAATCTTTAACTTCTTACAATTGTAGTTAACCCAGTATATAATAAGAAAAGGTGGAAAAATTAACTTCAACTTCATGCCATTGAAATAAACTACTCACAAGGATATTGAGTTTGCCATTAAACTCAGAAGAGACTCTAGTTATGAGCTCCTCTCTTTGTGCACGAGACGCCACGTCATGGATTGAACCGGTAACTCTGTATCCTTTTGTCTCCCATTGATGTAAGGATTCATTGAGTTGAGCTTCGTTCCTAGAGCAAGTGTGTACAGTGGCCCCTAGCTGTGCCAACTCCTCCACGATAGCATATCTAGTAAGAGTTTACATCATAGGAACAGTTAGAAACCACCCACCTTATGCAAGATCCACTTTATTTGTACAAATACGTTGGCTAATATGATAACATGTTTGCTTTGTACAAATTTCCCAAACAAGATTGTGTTTAGAATAACAAGTCTTTTATTTTATTTTTAAACATTATTCCACTTGCCTCTAACAAATCTAATTTATTCACACATAAGTCATACAAGTGAATCAACAAATAAGATTAAATATAATATATTATTTTGATACTGCAATAAGTTAATCTTATTATATATATATATAGATATCAAGAAGAGGTAGAAGAGCTCAAGATAGCAGCAACCCAATTCCTGCCGATCCACCAGTGACCAGAGCAGTCATCCCCTGTAAAGACCACCTTTTGCTTCTGCCAGCTATGTTTGCTTCAGCCATTTCTCCTTAATTTCTCTGCAAAACTGACCTATAAAATATCTGATACTTCGTATTTTTACCTTCTCTCAGTTGGTTCTATATATAATGATTATACACAGGAAAAAGTTCGAAGTGACATTATGGCCTGCCTATCCTAACTTTAATTACATAGTAACTTAGAGAGTATACATATCATGTAAACTTATATATCAAGAGAATAGTAGTTAATTGCGTCGCAATAGCCCGCGAGCCACGCCGCAATAAATCGCACCGTGCGGCACCGGAAGGCAATAGCAGTCATTGCGATCACATTTGCGGCCATATTGCTGTCATAAGTTAAAATGTCAAATTTGTCCTAAATTTAAATGTGTAACAGAAAAAATTTAAGTGTTTTTTAGTCTATTCGTGTCTCTCTCTGTCACTTATGCTATCTTTGTCTTTAAAAAATGTTTTTTTTTTTTTTTTTTCATTATTTTTGTCATATATCTATTCCGCTATTTCCGCAACCGCAACCCACTATAACGCTATACCGTTTTTCGGGGTTGGCCGCGACATGCCGTAATCCGCATTTGATAACTATGATCAAGAGTAACTTAACAGAATAATATTAAACAAAATGGCATACAATTCAAAATCAAGATGATAAACTTACTATGACAAAAATGTCAAAGCCATTTTCGGTGGCCTTTGTCTACATATGCACATTATTGAATGTGATTTTTGGACTTTTCCTGATCATATGACTCACATGTGATGCACTACTCCATATGAATAATATTATTCATATTATTCCTGATCATATGAATAATATTAAACAAAATGGCATACAATTCAAAATCAGGATGATAAACTTGCTATGACAAAAATGTCAAAGCCATTTTCGGTGGCGTTTGTCTACATATGCACATTGTTGAATGTGATTTTTGGACTGTTTCCTGATCATATCACTCACATGTCATGTACTATTCAAAATTGTGGAAAGTGGCTATTATTTGCCGAGGAATGCATTGTTCAAATCGCAGCATCCTAGCTGATAAACAGGGGCGTTGCATTTCACTTTCATGCATCCCAACTGAGAAGAAAATAACATGTTCTGTGTTCTCTTATTTTAAGAGAAAGTGATATTATTCTCTCATTGAATTTTGAGAGATATTGTAAGTTTTCTTTCACATAATAAAAATCTTGCTCAACATTTTTTTACCTAATTGATTTTTTCACGTAAATTTTGTGTATCACTTTAATTGATATATTTGTACGTGATGATTTCTTGATCAGTGAAATTAAGATAAAGTTAATTCATATTATTAGTTACTAGAAAAATGGTTCAAAAGGCATAAGCTTAAATTTACGGGAGAAAAATTTGCCTCCAAGCACTGAGACTATGTATATATCCTAAGTTACGTGGCTAAAGTCTTAATATAAGGGAGAAAAAGAATATCTTATATTAATTGAGGGTTGAAATTGAAGAGAATAAACGTAAATTTCAGTACACAAACTGCTTCCAATGCTCCGTTCAAGGTAATAATGGATTGATAACATAATTAGATCAGAGAGACTGGATATGCGATATGCTGTTTTGCAAGCATATGCATCTCAAATAGATTAACGTTTATGTGCAGAAATAGCATTATCAGAAAAACTTACGGGTTCAATAAGTGGAGATCTAATGAATCAATAAGCAACACAATTGGTCCTGATGCTGTCTTTCGCCCACTCACAGGCCAAATTTTTTTTAAGTTGACCTATTGCTCTGGATAGTTGACACAGGACAGAACTCAAGAAGTGAATAAATTAAGATTATCAAGGCAAGGTAATGTTACAAAGTAACATGTATCACCTATAAAACTCATTGAAGTAATGGCCATGTTAAAAAGTAGATATTAATTATTTCAAGGATTTTTTTTTTTCATTCCTCTTTCCTTCCCATTAATGATATAAAATAATAAGCACAAGAAGTATCACAGCCTCCTCATCTTTCCTGTTACTTTCCTTTGTGTCCCTTCCTCACAAACTCAGTCTTCCCTTTATTTGCAGCTATAAACAACCTACATTTGTTCTTGCCAAAGATTGTATCATATTAAGAACACAACCATTACCATTTAAAGACAAATTAACACAACAAAGCAAGATCCTGTAAATTTTGAAGTTAGAGCTATGGATAAAATAATTTATTGGAGATCTTCCATTGGATAGCACCGGCCATACATTAAAATTGCCATAGCAATATAGCTGGAATAAATAGTCCATTAATCAAGAAGGGATGCCAAAACCTTGGAAAGACCTACCAAGGGTTGCTGGACTTTTTTAGTGGACTCAAAGCTCATAATTCTAAAGTTTGACCAAGAACTGTGCCTTCACCATGCCTAATGCTTCACAGGAATGGCAGGTGGAGAGAAAAATAAGTAAAAAGCAGAGAGTATGGTATAAGCTGCAACTCTTAGATGTGTGTTGGGTAGAAACCATTCACGGACATTCCTCCATCAACACATATAATCTGGCCAGTGATGTATGACGATGCTGGTAGGCAAAGATAGGCAACAAGAGAAGAAACTTCTGCTGGATCTCCGAGGCGCCTAAGAGGAGTTCGAGAGTACACCTCTTCCAGATAGTCTTTGTTGCTGAGCACCTAAATGAAGAGGGGAAAAGTCAGATTACGTTTTATATCTTATTGCCGAATTAGTCTTCAGTGTTTTAGAGAATTGTGCAAGTTCCAGCCAGACCAAGATTCCAAATGCAATGCAACAAAACAAACCCAGCTGCAATGTTCTTATGCAGGGAATGGAAAACTACTGACTACCGTTAGAATTTTCATGAAGCTAATCTGCAGCACCAAATTTAGGTCCGGATAATCACAAAAAAATTAAAACTTAGGCCGTAATCAAGCAAAGAAAATGTCCAAGATGAGAGTATTATTTGATTTCTATGCCAAGAAAATGCAATTTGTGGGTGAGAGAGTACTAGTTGTACGTCCAATGACTTGGGATGATTTTAGATTCCAGATCAAATCCCGGATGGTTCAATTATGGGATCAAAAAAAAGTGTCCAACTCACAAAATCAACTCGAATATTTGGAAGACAGTAAGAATCTATTATTTCTCTCTGTTTCTACTATGTAGTGTAAATTTGTTTGGTCTAAGAGAAGCCACGGTTGTGCATTAAGCAGCCTTACCAATGAGATTTTGAGGACATGCTTGCTGAAGAGTTATTGTTCCAGAGGACTGGATTCAAGATAAATTGCTGGGTTATTAATTCACCATACAACAGCTTTGCAGCCATCTACCTAAGATGGCACTTTGGCAGGAAGAACATTGAAGGAAAGAGATTGATTATGTATATCTCCCAATATACCAGATCAAATATGTTCGGTTGAAATAGAAACTCACAAAGGGAATTTATGACTTACATAAACGTTTGGAAATGGTAGGTGTTCTTGTAATTTCAAAGGTGTTCTGTTTTACATAAGTTTTCCATGCGCCCAACCAATTCTTCAAAAAAGCGCTAATATTACTATTCCATGATACTAATCAGTGATATGGGTAGCTCATTCTAACTCATGGTTAAAGGATAAAGAGGGAAGAAAATTACTTGCTCCACCATTGAAGTTCGGATGTACCAAGGTGCAACTGCATTACTCCTAATATTGTCTTTTGCCCACTCACACGCAAGATTTTTTGTAAGTTGATTGATTGCCCCTATAAACCAGAAAACAAACAAATATTCAAAATTTAATAAACTCATCAACATCAACATATTCGTAAAGCAAGCTGCAATACATCATTGAATAGGTAAATTACCTTTTGTTGCTCCTTGAACAGACATTGACTTCAGTGAGACAAAACCAGAAACAGACGAGATGAATACAACACTTCCCACTCCCGATGCTTTCAGAAGTGGATATGCAAGTTGGCATATATGAAAGGTGGATCCTAAATTGGTATCAATGAGACTGGAAAACTCTGCAGTTGTGAATTCTGTCATTGGTTTCCGAATGTTTGTCCCTACATTATTTATCTATACATCAAATCAATCAGGTTTATATATATATCAATGCAATATTGAGCAAAGTTCTAAACAACTCCTATTTTTCTGCATTCTAGAGCTCACAACATGCTAATTGTAAATGCATGTTTTGACCCTTGATAGCAGAAAAAAAGAATGAACACCACAGTTATGATTATGAACATCAAATACAGGAAAGAGAGAAAAGAGAACCTTACAAGGATGTTGAGTTTCCCATGGAAGACAGAGGAGACTAACTCCATCAGTGCCTCCCTCTGATGTGGAACAGACACATCACAAATTGAGCCAGTAACCTCAAAACCCGAATCATTCCATTCCTTCAGGCACTTACTGAGTTCATCTTCATTTCTGGCACAGGTATGCACTCTTGCCCCAAGCCCCATCAATTCCTCCACAATGGCGTGCCTTTTGCATACAAATACCAAATCTCACAAGTTAACATGAGGAGCTGAAAAGGGTCAGAAATAGAAGGAAAGATGCGTATTAAAGTTCGAATCTTGGTACCCAATTCCGCGTGTTCCACCAGTTACGAGAGCTGTCATCCCCCGAAGAGACCACCTATGCTGTGTTGGGGTACTATTCGTGGGAGAATGCAACATGGGTTGGCACCTAATTGGTCTCATGCGAGTGGTTTGTGATATTCTTCTAAGCTTGAAAGAGATGGTTGTAGGAGAATCAATGCGGCTTGATAGTAATGGAAGAGTGGCTGTTGAATTTGGGACAGTACAGAGAGAAGCCTGATGCATTTTGTTCCAATGATTGTCGAAACATTCGACGAGGTTTTTTTTTCTTTTTAAGGAAATTTGATTTTCCTTTAGATTATCTAAGTGAAGTTGATTTCAACATCAGTTGCGGATGGAGACCGCTACATCCTTTATTAAATCAGTTTTATGTTTCTGATGTTATCTACTGACGATAATATTTTCAGTACTATATCCGGTTGAGTAGTTGTTCCTTCAAAATCAAATTATAAATTATACATTTTTGAACTGTAGTTACAATTTTTTTTTTTTACTACTTCTTACAATCATATTTTAACGTTGATTTCCGCCAATCAACGGTTATTATTGATTCATAATAAATAATTAATTAATGAGTTTAATTTACAAAAATCATAACCGTTGATTGACAGAAATTAACGGTATTAAGACATGATTGTAAGAAATTGTAAAAAAAAAAAATTATAAGTATAACTTACTTTTTTTGAAAAAATATTTTTTTTTTATTTTTCTCCAAGAAAAATGTTAGCACAGATGTTATATTTTTATTGATGGAATATAGGTACAACATAATATATTAAATTACTATTTTTATATATATAATAGTGTGTGAGATTTATATTTTTTTTTTATTTTCTTTTCATATGATTCCATATATTTTTATATATATAGAAAATAATTATATTTCTTTATGATACGAAAAATATTAATCTCCTATTAAATGTGCTAAAAAATTATCCATTTACACTATTGTTATCTTTATCGTTATATCCTCTAATGGCACTGAATATGTGCTCCGTCATATTAAGTGCTGCCATTCCTTGTATGGTGCATTCATTTGTAAGTAAACGTATTTCCAAGCCGTACGTAAAAATCTGACCCGGCGTTCGATTCGATCGAGGTTAGAGTATATGAGATTACAGATTCAATTGGAAGATCATGGATCACTTTATTGACTTGGTTTTATACATTAAAAAAAGAAAACATATTTGACTCTTCAAATTTGTGTGCAATTTTTTTTTTTTTAATAAATGTGGGACCCACTACTAGTTGAGTCTAATTCAATTCTCATGTAACATGAGAAAATCAAACCCCTTAAAAAATATAAATATATATTCTATACGAGAAATTTAAAAAAATCAAACCACTAAACATTAAAAATTCAAAATATACTTAACATAATTCAACCAATTATATTCACAAGTCAATATTTTCACGCTAATCAAAGTATAAAACACATTCCAATGAAATTAATGAAAAGAATATCATCAAACTCAGACATCTTTTTTTCCTTCTTATGCACCTACAACAATATGTGAAAGGAGATCCTTTATTAAATAGAAAAAAGCAAAGGAGAGGCGACGACACGACAAATTAACGGTAAAAAGAGAAGAACCATCACGGTGAAGGAGATCACCAGCTCAGGGAGACTGGGTCTAGTTCTGGAAGAGAAGATTGAAAGAGAATAAGAAGAACGATTCAGATTTAAGATCTAGTTCTAAATCTAGGCAGCAACGAATTTTGTTTTATTTTTCTTTTCTACACATCAAACGATATCATTTTGTGTATAATTTTTTTTGTAAAAAATAAATGTAATAACACCCTTTGACCCCTTTGACCAGGGAGTCACAAGTTCAACCGGAGGGTTTCGAAGATTAGAGGGGTCAACTTGCAAGTAAAGTCTAACTACTAATCTAAACCTTTAAAGAAAGAGAGTCAATGATTCAGTGGGGTGGAGTTTTAAAAACTGGTTCAAAGTCCTCAATTTAGGTAATAACTCTTAACTCCCAGCTGAAAAGATCAACTAATTCATGTCCACGCTTAGAAATAGTGTAAAAACAACCTCACTTAAAAAACATAATAACAAAGATATCTGAAAGTATCATTTAAAAGACAATATATCTAATTCTTTTCCACAGCTCTTCTGATTCTTTTGTTTTGATCTTAGTGGATCAAAATTATTGTTGGATCAGTGGACTTGTAATAAACTCGTACTTTATGATGTTTTAAAGGGTTAAAATCACTTTTAAATCTAGCCCAAAGTATGAAAATTTGAAGCTATTTGGTTAAGAAGATTTAAAGTAAATATTATTTTTGTCCACAACAAATTATACGATACCCGCTTTAGTCCCTAACAAATAAAAAAGCTATTCGTTGAAATCGTGGTTCCTCACAAATTCAAAAAAGATCTACATTAGTCCCTCAAAAGAACTAAAATGGGTTCACTTTGAATTTCTTAGGACCACGAATAGCCTTTTTATTTGTTAGGGACTAAAGCGGGTATCGTAAAATTTGCTGAGAATTGAAAATGATATTTACTCAAAGATTTGACTTTATTTCTATGACATATGTGATTAATTTTTGCTAATTTTACAAGACAATTGAGTTGAATTGAAACAATGGTTAAGTTAAAAGAACTTAAAACGATAAATGAGTAAAGGTTAGGATAGAAGAACTTAAAATGATAAACGAGTAAGGGTTAAGTTATGCCCAAAATAAAAATTTGCTATGAAAAGGCTTATAGAGTCCAAATAGTGTGCTACAACACCCTATTTGATACGAAGAATACAATATCCAAATCCATCATCTTTGATATAGAAAATGGACAAAAGACATGTTTAGGTAGGTTTTCACTAAATCGTTGCTATTCATTTATCGCTTTAAGTTCTTCTTAATTTAACTCTTGCTCCAATTCAACTCAATTGTCTTATAGAATTAGTAAAGATTAATCACATATGTCAGCATAAAGTTAATATATTATTTTAGCCAAATAATTCTAAATTTTCATGCTTTAGATTGGATTTAAGAGTGATTTTAGCTCTTTAAAGTATGAAAAACTACAAATTTATCAACTAGTGGTGTTCGGAGATGAGACGATTATAAATGCTGGCAGATCAATGCACAAACAAGAGACCAGACGCCAAAGCCCACTGATAAAAATAAGAGTTAGGGTTTTTAAGAGAGATACATGTAAAGCGTAAACCTTATTTATAGATGGTTTTACTTGAAAGTGGATCAAGCTCTCACGTGGCCAAAAGGGGCTCATTATACGGTGCAGAATATTTTATATATTCAATACATTCAAAATATACAATTTCCTATTAGAATTCATGTTCGTTATAAAGTGAATTAAAATTTTAACTTATTCATTTGTCATGATTATAAGTGTTAGAAATTTCCCTTGGGCAATATTAATTAATTTTCTGTTTTAAAATTAATCGAATTAATGAATATTCCAATTGTATTATTTTGATAAGCCCGTTGTATAGTATTGGGCCTAGTTGGGTAACACAGTATATCCATTAGTGTTTGATTGAGTTTCTGTGATGAGTAAACCCATCAGACACACTGTTGATTAAAATTTTGTCAGGTCCCCTCTCTAACCTATTTTATATTGAGGTTAAGCCTCATGAGCCGTACTGTTCCCATCGCAGAAGGCTGTCATTTTGAAATAGGTTATAGAGATGAAGATTCTAGCCGTGAGATCAAGGTTCTTCGTTCAGTAGATAAGATGACCCATACACAAATTTCTCTCAAAACGAAATTTGATATGTGGTGTTTTATCTATCATACATGTATCGATCTTTATGTTGAATTATTACATGAAATATCTTATAATAAGTTCTAAATTCGATCGAATTAGTGTTTAGCTTAAACAAATATATAAACTTTTAGAATAATCGGTAAATATTGTAAAATCTATAATTGAAAACATTTATATTTTGTATATTGGACTTCAATCAAATTCAAAATATAGAGTGATGTACCTGTATAGAGTATACATTGGCCATAATCTCCTCCGCATATTTTTCTAGTTACAACAAATCGAAGGTTCCTTTCTGGGTTTTGTCATATCTATCAAAATGTATGTGTTAATAGTTCTCCCTTCATATAATTTTTTTGTTGATACACAATGAAACTTAAACCAGTCAAAGCAAAACTACATGTCAGTCACGCAACTGCATGGAAACCCCACAGTATGTTTGTACACTAATATATATATATATATATATATATATATATATGCATTTGGTTTGAACTTGATATTTTTCAAATTTAAATAAAATTAAGCATTTAATTTGAATGTGATCGAAAAATAGCTCGTTACACCCCCAATATTCACAGTCCATATTGATTTTTTGGTTTATTCTTACAGTGTCACCAAGGGCACAAGCAAAGTAATCAAGCTTGCTTATAAGTTGTTAAGGAGAGAAAAGGTGGTATGGGTTGGTTATTCTGTTATAGTGTATTGATATATGACTTATATCCCCAAGGTTCTAAGTGCCACTTTCGTACTTTATTTGTAGCTGCATCGACTGTGTATGACTCATCAATATGTCCAACTAACTTAAGGCTTTAGTAATTTCCATGTGGAAGACGTTCAAGCCTACCTTTGCTGTGCCAGCTGGTTGGTACAACCAAGATAATTTGCAAACCCTCCGCAATTCTTATTGTTTCCTTTTATATATATATATATATATATATATATATATATATGAGGCAGGATCCTTTGACACCGGTGTCAAATTTGAAGTTTGATACCTCATTTGAGAGCCGTTAGATCAAAAAAGATCAACGGTGTCACATGCTTACAAATCAGAGTTGTTGATTTTTTTTGATCTAACGGCTATCAGATGAGGTGTCAAATTTAAAATTTGACACTAGTGCCAAAAGATCCTACCTCTCGAGAGAAATGTTTATCTCATGTTACAAACTCATCGAAATCCGAGCCAACATTTTTTTCTTTTTCTTCTTTTTAGTTGTGAAACCCATTTAATTATATCTCTACATGAGACAATGTTATTTCACGTAACATGAGAAAAACATAGCCCATATATATATATATATATATATACACACACACATAGGTAAAATCATTTTTGCAGCTGCTCTACGTACAACAACGACAGATGTATAGTTATGATTTCCCACATTTAATGCTTTCATCTTTTGTAAGGTTATGATTCCCTGCATTTAATACTTTCACATATATATGAAAAATATTTGATTGCTGCACACACAACAGCTGCATAAATTTAAATCCTATATATATATATATATATATATATGGGAAAAACATTTCTCAAGTTGCTTGAGACAATGTTATCTCCGGCCATCCCAAGACTACGTCGTTTTGTTTATTTATTTCCTTATATTAATTGATTCACCTTTGAATGGTTATGATTCCTTTTTTTCTCTCTTCCTTTATCACCATTGATCTATTTTTGTACGGTTATGATTTAGTAGCCGAAAATAACATTGTCTCAAGCAGCTTGAGAAATGATAAGCCCTATATATATATATATATATATATATATATATATATATATATATATATATATATGGGCAAGTTATATTTACAAGCTTTTTTGTTACAAACTCTTATAAACTACACTATCTTCTCCCGGGAGAACACTAGGTTTCACTATGTTCTCCCGGGAAAAGATTTTAGATAAGCTTATCTACAGCTACCCATTTATAACTATGTTTTCTCGGGAGAACATAGTTGTAACATTAAAGTTGTTTTTTTCTTTCTCTCCACGTCAGCAGACAGATTCTGAAAAGTAAATGAGAGAGAAAAAAAAGCAACTTTTAATGTTATAACTATGTTCTTCCGAGAGAACATAGTTATAAGGGTAGCTGTAGATAAGCTTATCTAAAGTAGCTGCATAAATGTTTACCCCTATATATATATATATATATATGGAAAAAAATATTTCTACAGCCACTTTAGATAAGCTTATCTACAGCTACCCCTTTATAACTATGTTCTCCTGGAAGAACATAGTTATAACATTAAAGTTGTTTTTTTTTCTCTCTCCACGTTAGCAGACAGGTTCTGAAAAGTAATTGAGGAGAGAGATATAAAAGCAACTTTTAATATTATACTTATGTTCTCCCGGGAGAACATAGTTTTAAAGGGTAGCTGTAGATAAGCTTATCTAAAGTGGCTGCAGAAATGTTTACCCCTATATATATATATATATATAGGGATTTGCATTTATCATTTCACATGACACAACAAAGTTTCCTACACACATAATATTTTGTGGGGCCCACACTTTTTGAAGAAAAAAAAAAACTATGGCACGCAAAATGAATCTCTATAACATTACACAATCACTTTTCCTACAACATAACTCTTATAAAACGTACCCATATATATATATAGGGAAAAAAGTATCTAATGTTACTTTAGATAATTTTATCTAATATTCACTAAAACGACGTCGTTTTGAAGTTGAAAAATTAAAAAATTAGAATGATAAAGACTATTATAACCCTGAAATAAATTAAAATTATAAATATATCATGATTTCCGCTCCAAAACAACGTCGTTTCGGCGAACATTAGATAAAGTTACCTAAAGTAACTTTAGAAAAAACAAACCCATATATATATATATGGGATAGGATCCGTTTTCAAACTTTTTTTGCAGATTACACTAAGTACGATCGGTCGTACACTGCATGATTAAAGTAGGACCGGTCGTACTTAGTGTAGTTTGTAAACAAAAAAGTTTGTAAATATAACTTTCTCCTATATATATATATATATATATATATATATATATATATATATATATATATATATATATAGGGAGATTATATTTACAAATTTTTTGTTTATAAACTCTTATATTTCAATCAAGAATGTATAACCGGTCATACTTAGTGTAATTAGTAAAAAAAATTTATAAACAGATCCTTCTCTATATATATATATTTTCCAATTAATCCTGTTGAAGCAGAGGAGGGTTCTTCTAAGATCATTCAACATTAATTGCCATAACAAGTACCAAGTCAGCTTCAAATTCAATGTTCACGAGAATCAGGACGGCTAATTAAACATGCAAACATAGTAGACTATGTTGGACTGAAGATTATGGAAGAAATCAAGTAGCAAACACCATATAAAATTATAAATTACGGATTATTTTAATTGACTTCTCCATAGTTTCAATATAAATCAAGACTGTTAATTTTATTTTGATTTTATTTAATTTTAGATTCGTCTAAACTCTAGAGTATATATTTTGAAGTTTCAGGACATTGGAAGGCATTAATCCGGTTCAACTTTCAATAAGCTTTGATAGAAATGGTAAAAGAAAGTATTAAAAAAACAATATTGACCGAGTTATATGTGTAGTTCAGAAGATTCTCTCCCGATTGTGTTTTGTATAACATTAATAAAGTGGTGCTTCAAGCATATACAGGCATGTGTTAAGAGGTGGTTCATGACAGCATGCATGCAGCTTAACGCAGTAAACTATTTAGTTGTAATATATATGGGACGGGGGAAAATAAAATATTCAAAATTTCCGACTATTTTATAAATCAAATGGTCATGCAAACGATTGCGTGATTCTTTAGATGACCTTTTCATCTTGAGAGAAACCAATCTGACCTCGTACAAATATTATTTTACCTTTTACCCCACAGCTTGGGATAACTTGCTCTCACAAAACATTTTTATTTTTTGCTTTAGAAATTAGCACAGATTAGCAGTATTATTTATGGGTACGGTGTTTGTCATTTTAAATGACATAAGTTATGTCATTTTAGAAGATAGATAGACACAAAAAAATGAAAATCATGAGAGAGAGAAAGTGAGTGGCTTTTTTTAATTTAAATTTTAAATAAAAAAAATATTTTGTGTCTATCTCTCTCTTAAAATGACATAACTTTATGTCATTTAAAATGACAAACATTTTTTCCATTATTTATTTATTTTTGAGTTAACCCAATCCAAATTATTCTTTTAGGCGAGTTGGCTTCCTCCAGTATTGTCACAGCCTTCGACTTTTTGAGTCGGTTATGAGACTAATCCGAAGTGCGGGATGAGTTATAATGAAAATATTTAAACTCCTCCTAAATGTAACATGTGATGATCGAACTAAGACTCTTTTCTTTCCATCTACTTAGCTCTCTTGCTACCAACAAAACTGATACATTGTCATTTGTTTCCACACCATACATATCAATCTCAAATAAGATCGTTTCATTTTAAAAATCAATATTTAATCAATTTTTTTTTCAAATCTTAATGAAGAAGTATAGAACTTGGTCTCTTCTCAAATATATTAAGCGTTCGTTTGGTTAAAGTTCTGTGGAAGCAGAATGAAGTCAATTTTCTAACTAATGCGGTGAAATAACAACAAAAACTGCACAGGTAAGATTTTTCAAAATCAATTCTAATTAACTACTAAAATTGATTTTAATGATTATGACTAACAAGTAACTTATTCGGTGAATTAAAAAGATTGATTTAGAGATGAAAACCATTGATTTTTTTCTAAAGTAATTTACAATCAACATTATAAACTTTACTTTAAACAAAGGAGACTCACATATTTCAAATCCTTACAAACACATTAATTTCAAAAAGTGATTTTACTTTTACAGTACCAAACAAAATTAAAAACTAAAACCAATTTTTTTTTTTTTTTTTTGCCTATTCAATTTTGTTAGAATCTAATAAAAACACTAGAAACAAATTAGAAAGCACACTCATACAGGAAACATATATACGTTAGTATGATAATAATTACACGAAAATATGGTTAAATATATATATGGCATGAGATAAGATATATTTACAAACTTTTAGTTTACAAACTTTACAAATTATACTAAGTATTCCTGAGAGTACATTCCTAACCGAGACTACTCCCGGGAGTACATAGTGTAGTTTGTAAAAGTTTGTAAATATAACTCTCCCTGGTATAAGATATAGGATATATTTACAAACTTTTGGTTTATAAACTTTGCAAATTATACTATGTATTCTCGGGAGTACATTCCTAACTGAGTGTACTCTTAGGAGTACATAGTGTAGTTTGTAAACAAAAAATTTGTAAATATAACTCTTCCCATATGGTATATGTAAAAGGAAAAATATTTCTCCAACCATTTAAGATAAGCTTATCTCCAGCCACCCCTTTTAACTATGTATTTTCGAGAATATATAGTTATAATCTGTTAGCTGACGTCGTGAAGAGGGAGAAAAAAAAACTTTAACGTTATAACTATGTATTTTCAGAAATATATAATTAAAAAAAATGATGGAAAATAAGCTTATCTCAAATATGAAAATATGTTAATCCCATATATAAAAACTTGTTGATAGTAACATTGTGTTTACGCTACAATACTTGGAGGTAGCGTAGGCAAAAAGCTACATTCCAAAATACTAAAAAAGAAAAAGCTACATGCCAAAATGCAAACAGACAAGTTGTTCCCAGTACCATGACCCAGTTTTACAAAGCCTTAAGCTATATTGTCCTTTGCTATAACTCAAGCTGTAAAACTTCCAAGAAGTTACATTCTCATTACATGCCATTGGTCTAGAATAACGTTAAAAATAAAAAAGCAGGCCTTAATTTGTATGTGCAATGTGCCCCACTCCACATATAAAAACCACCACATTTTCTCCCTGTTGACCATCTCTATTCCTTTCTTTATCTATACGAATTACTTCATTATCATTACATAGCTTCAAAGTTGAAACTAATCAAATAATAATGGAGTCTGATCATGATCATCATCAACCAATATCAGAAAAACCCCTCGATGGTGATGATCAAGGTGCAAGTCATGTACCATCATCCAGGTCCTACGAGTGCAACTTTTGCAAGAGGGGTTTCTCTAATGCACAAGCACTTGGGGGTCATATGAACATCCATAGGAAAGACAAAGCAAAACTCAAGCAACAATCTTCAAACCAAACTCAACCATCTTTGGAGTCTAAGTCTGGTGAAGAACGCAGCAAACAAAGCTGGAATTGGAATGTGTCTCAACAAGACTATGCCTCCTCCATAGATGAAACTCACATGAGGCAGCTTCCACTCTTTGCTGAATCACCAAATAGCAGTGAAACGCAAAAGCCACAAGGTCAAATTCATGGGGATATTGCTACAGAACGTTCCTCATCTGAGTTAGACCTTGAACTGAGATTAGGGTCTGAGCCACGGGATTTATCTCCGGCTACCGGTACCAGAAAATTCTATTGAGTTCAATGATCAATACATAATTATTTGTACATGTCCAAGAACCCTTTTTATTTTTCTTGGTAAAAAATTCATCTTATTCTGTTTGATTTGTTTCTCACAACAATTTTAATGATTATGAGCAATGTTTTGTATTCATTGTATATGTTAAAAGAAGTTTAATGTTAGATCTGATCGAAGTTTGCTTCTTTTGATTCTTTTTTCCTTTGGGTTACAACAGTTTATAGTCGAGTCTTTAAAACTGAATTTCTTGCACCATCATTATTCCAAGTATGGAACTCAATGTCTCAAACTGTAATATTAAAGTAATAGATTCTTAATTTCTTATTCGTCTCTTGGAAAACAATATTAATATGTCACTTTGCCTCCTTGGCTTGTTGTATATAGATTAGGCTTAATTTCATATTGGATATGATGTTGCTTATAATTGAAATAATATATTTTGTTTCATTGCACACAAATTTTGTTTTCGATTAGAACCAAGCGAACTAGCCTTGTCATCTTCAACCATCGACAAGAACAAGGTAATTTACTTGCTTTTCTTATTTATAATTCGTTAAAATATTTTCATTTCTGCTTAGTGCATGTCAATTAATAACAAGAAAACAAAAACCCTATATACGTCTTTCTAGTTTTCATCGTTTCATGCATTGATTTCTCAAGTTAATTAAGTTGCTGGTTCATTTCAAGTCGTAGACCTGATACCCCAGTAACGAGTTACTTAGTCCTTTAATTCATAGAAATTCTTTCACTATTCGTGCAATTCATTCATGGACTCTAGTATCATGGAATTACTCTGATAAACCTCTTGAGCTTCACATAGGAAATTAATGGAAATACAATTTGTTTCCTGTAGTTCTATGAAATCTAAACGCACGACATCATCATAAGGGTATATATAATTAAGCATTAGGCTCATAGACAGTACAAGCATATAAGCATTTCGATGATGACCAATTATGAAGCTTAAGACACGACTAATTAACCTTGTTATTTGTATTGATCCTAGCCTCCAAGATAATGTTCTCACTATATATTTCGACTTATCTACATCCACTCCTCCAGGATATGTACACAGAAGGAAAGCATGCATATATCATTACCGAATACAATCTTGGGGAAGCTCTATTTGCCAGAAGTTACGTCCCTTAAGAAGGTAATATGTGTATCATTCTTTTCTTTAGGAAAATATGTATCATTTGAATAATTAAGTAATTAATCTAGTCCCATGCAAGCAGAAGTATATTTTTGAGTCTTGCCTAATTCCTAAAATATTTGTAAAATTTTGAGTTACCCCCATGTCCCCCACGGTTCAGGAACTGGATAAAAATTTCCTGTCCTTATCGTTGTCTCTGCGCGCGCTTGTATATATACACACACACGAAGAGAGATTGTTTTCAACCAAGGAACATGAAATTTTAGGACTAGATTAATTTCAGCAATTAGATAAATTCTTCAAAAACATAAAATAAAGATCCCATTCATCATCGTATATATTGTGCGTTTAAAATATATATACCGTACTTAAAAAGTCATTGCTAACTTTGTAGTTAGCATTGATTCAAGAAAAACTCTAGCATGCTCCTTTGGCATAACCTATCATCCATTTTATTATGTTAATGTGTCTAAAATTACATGAATTAATGTGTTTAAAATAAATAATGGGAAAAGTCATCTGGATTTGTCAAATGGTGAAAAGTTTGGATAATTTGCAAGATGTGATAAGTTCGAATTTTAGCGCCTCCATTATATTCAATAAATCAAAAAATTTGGCAGAATCTTTTGCATGCTCCTGAAGCACAATTGCTGTATTGTATGCTCCAGAAAATATCTTTACCAACATTAATTTAAGTTGGTGTCCTAAAATTTATTAAATTTGTTTAAAATCAATAATAAACTTCATTTTTGAATTATGCATTAATTACAGTTTAGCAGCATATGATAATATCTTCAGTTAGGGCACTCGACTGTAAAAAATGTTTATTAGATAATTTTTTTTTTCCTGATTTCCAGGTGAAAACATTTTGCTTAGGACAACAGAAGTCATTTTCTCCCATTTCAAACCAGTGAAATAATTAATCAGAATTTTATTATTATAAATTATTATTACAGTAACATAGGAAAATGGTTCTAATTAAAGATTTCTTTTGCACCAAATAACTGAAATCATTTTCCACATACTAAATCATTAATTCCAGCGGCTGATGTGTAGTACAAGAAAACAAAGCTGTCAAACACGAGACAATGGCAGCTTAAAGGGCTCGGCTCGGCGGGCCAACCCGCCCCACCAGCTAAATGGGGCGGGGCAGGCTCAGTTTTCAACCCATCTCAAAAGCGGGACTGGGCGGGGTGGGCTCATTTTTTGACGGGTTGATGACAGGCATAAGCGAGCCGAGGCGGGTCAGTGTAAAATAGGTAATAGGTTCGGGCTGGCGGGCCAACTCTCCCAACTCGCCAAACGGGACAGGACAGACTGACTCATTTTTTGGCGGGTTGATGGCGGGGTGGACCGCCCACTTTGCCATCCCTACTTTCAACCACCGGAGGTAGTATTAACCAACTTGAACTTATTTAGTGTACGTTTGTATTATAGTTTATAAAATTAATTTTCATAAACCTGATTTTCTCAATTTTGATTGAAAGTGAATTTACAATGAATCGATTTAGTTAAATACTTTTATTTAAAAATTAGGTGGATATTAGTATTTAATTTTGGTCATAAATGTTTCCAACCTACCACAGCAACTATTTTTCACTACTATTCAAATCATGATTTGAGACCAAAATCTCATTAGACATACCTCAAGTGAAATTTTACTAAACATCTTAGTTTAAGACAAAACTAAGTTTGCACCCTCTAAACCATCATTTGAGATGAGTAAAGTATAATCCAAACACAATGTTACAGTTGCTGAAGCAAGGCACGACCGTGGCCAGAGGCATTAGCAACTTGCTAATAGCAAGAGTCCAGAAGATAAGGGAAAATCTTTTTTTTTTTATTTTTTCTCCCCTACTAATCTGATTGTTGCAGGGTTCTAAACCAGTAAAACTACATAAATATTTTGTTTCAAAACATAGAACTTTACAAAACCATACACATCCAACCAAATTATCTATATGTTAACAGAGACTCAAACAACAGAGTTTTACCCTGTGCAAGACATGTTCCATTTCCACTAGTCATCGTCAACATAGATAGTCTCTTGCTTGAACAGGCCACCAAACACCTTCCTGACCTCCTTTGGTTTCTCTGCTTGCTCCTTTGGTTTACGAGCATCGCTTCTTGGAGCTGTTTGTTTAACCACTGCTTTGTTAGGAGTGAGACTCCGAGCCTTGGCCTGTCCCCTTACAGTGGCTAGCTGCACATTTGTATTCTCATCCTCATCAGGCTTTTGGATTGAGGTAGAAATCTGTGAGCTGAACTTTTGCCAGGAGAACCCTGCACCAAAATCTTTTGCCTTGTTCAAGAGGCTTTCCACCGAAGCCCCAGCTGCCTCTGCCTTGTCTTGGGCTTCTTGAGCTAGACTAGCAGCCCGGGCTTCTTGTTGTGAAAGCTTTTTCACCTCTTCTTCAAGCTTCTTTGTTGTTTCAGCAGCTTCACGGGCTTTTTCAGCAGCCACTCTTGCCTCTTCCTCTGCTTTAGCTTTCGCTAGCAGTTCAGCATAGGCTTTCCTTCTGCCATCCTCAGGAATAGTGCTGTAAAGAAACTTATAAATCAGATAGAAACACATACTGATCCTCCTCAAAGGGGAAGCAAAGCCAAAATCATCCACCTGCTATAGATGAAAAACAGAAACAACTATCTATATTTAGCTGATTTACCTGAAAAGTTCATCTACACGCCTCAAGGGGGCATTTGGATCTGTATAAACTTCCACAACCTATTGAAGAGAGAGAGAGAGAGGGTACCAGAAGTAAAATGGTCAACCGAAAGCTTCAATCTTTTAGCTTTATAAATATGCATGGCCGTGTGAGGATGCTAATCATCTCAGTTAAATATCAACAAACACTAGAATGCATTATGTAAAAAAATGATACCTTGTTTTCTGCCACCTGGGTGTTGGAAAAGACATCAGCAACTAACGATGCTATCTTGGACTTTGCTACCTATAATAACCATCATTTTCTAAAAAACTATTACCTACAAATATGGAAATAAGGATGTAAAGGGAGTATAAAGAAGACACAATTTTTTCATTCAGAAATTATGGCATACATTACATTACTTTATAGTCGTTCGCGCGGGCTCTTTCTTCGCCAAAGACGACCACATTATAGGAACTCTCCGCAGAGAAATCATCAGTCAAACTTGTCTTGATTAAGGTATATTTGACGTCTGTTTCAATCACTTTCTGCAAAAACTCTTGTATGGTCAATGGCTGAGACCGGGAGAACAGGTTGTTGAAGAACGAGGAGATGCCATCCAGTACATTGTAGGTTGAGTTGCCGGCTGTGTTCTCGTCATAGATAACAGCCACGTGGCCAACACCCGCCAGCTGTGCAGCCTGAACTACTTGCAAGGCGTCTGACGTGGAAACCTCGGCGGTTGGACCATTCTCTGTGGAACCAATGGTGACAACCACTTTGCTGGCATTGCCTATTGCTTTAGCTATTGAGTCTGCATCATCAAAGCTTGATTGCACAGCGTTTAGACGCTTTGCCTCTTCATTTGATATAATCTGCGTTTACTCCAAATGGAAAATTTCATAAAAACTCAATCTGATGATGGCCAGTCACCACTTTCTGCTTGCTCTATATATCAAATTATCAATCTCACATTACGATATTGTAAATAAAATCTAATCTACATCACACTTGTTAAGATATATAAAATCATTAATGTAGTCTCACCCAATAGCTTAAGCTTTTGGGTTGAATTGATTCTTTACATGGTATGTATCAGAGCCTCGTGTCCCGGTTTCGCGATCCTCGCTGCCCCCCATTTTCTTTCACCCACTTTCTTTCAGGTGGAATTTCTTAGTTCGCAAGGTAGGTGAGCCTGTGCATTGTCCACCTTTCAAGTCCAGTAGACTCTCGTGTGAGGAGGCATGTTGAGATATATAAAACTATTAATGTAACCTCACCCAATAGCTTAAGCTTTTGGGTTGAATTGGTTCTTTACGACACTAATCTGAATTCCTCCACAGAATAGGAAACAGGAGAACCAAGTTACATGCAACAGTTAGTACTAATTGGTTGATTAAGAGGCTTACCCTGTATTGAGCAGCAAGACGAGCCAGTTCTTGTGCAGAACCAAGTTCAGGGACTCCAGCTCGTACACTAAAACCTTCCCTTAGCAGTGTTTGTGCAATGCGAATACCAGCCTGGCCTGTTGCGCCAGCAACAAACACGGTTGAAGGATCCTTTCGCCTTGTGTTTCCAAATGACAAACCTGGTGAAGAAGGGTTGTTCACAACTGGGATCAAGGATGTCACATCAGGTAACTTTCCAAAGTTGAAACGAAAAGGGTTGGATTTGGATGAGCCATCAGCTGGTTGGCCTCCTTCTTCAGGAGAAGAATCATCTTTAGGTTTGCCCACCCCAAATGAAGGGAATGCTCCAGACTTCTTAGCAAAGACTCTGAGCCTTGGGCTCCTGAGGGAGTGAGACGAGGTTGGTAACAGAGATGAATTGGAAGTGAGAGTGGGAACCATGGATGGATACAGCAAGATTTCCAAGTTCACCCTCGCCTTCAATTGTAGTATGTATCTTTTGGCTTGTGTATCTCTGTATCTTTAGCTCATAAGCACAATCTATTACTTAGGCCTTGAAAGATTAATTTTGTTTGGTCTGTGTGTGAATTATCTAAATGGAAGAGGCAAGCAGAAGCTAGCGAATTGGCTTTAGCCACGTGGTCAGGGTTTATCCTGCAGAAATATCGAACACCAAGCGTTCGAATAGCACATAAAATGACGCTCTATTTTCACACATGAATCAAAAATAATCAAAAAAGAATCTTATGTGAATTTCTCTTCGTAATTTATATTAAAGTTCCCAAAAAAAATCACATTCATATTTAAAAATTATTAACTATAAAGATAGAGTGAGGAAAAACTAAAAAAGTGGATACTCGTCCTTAGGAGAAGTAATTAACTATATGAAATTTATTCACAACAGGCGAAACATTCCATTGAATTACTTGCACTTTTTTTTTGCTTAAATTAGAATTATAACAGGATCAACAATCCAGATTAGGTTGTGACCATATGCGGAATAGGACGCGATATATGTGCCGCTTGATTGTCACCAGGCTAGCCAGATTTGGATTAGGTTTGCGAAATCTATCGAGGAAAATATTTTTCTTATGTCGTAGAAAAAAAGTTAAGTCATACCATAGAAATAAAATTATAAGTGGAACCCACAGGTAAAAGAAAAGAGAAAAAAAAGTGATGAGACCCAATACCTTTTTGTGTGTAAGAAAGTTATTTATCTCATGTAAAATGAGATAAACATAACACATCTATCAATATAGTATAATAGTTTCATTTTCTAGAGTACTGATGGGTTTACGAGCAATCTAACTACTAAATGGGGTCTCCATCATTCATCGCGGTAATGCAGGATGTTTTAGAGTAAGCTTGTCTGGGCCTACAAGAGAATATAGCATGGAATTTTAGCCCAACTTCCAGCGTCCCCCAAGGATCCAGTTCGAGTAATCCTGGACGATGCGCCATGTGAAAAACCCAATGTAAAACTGGGTAACTAGAAAATATCACGTCCTTTTTTACTCACTCCGTCCTACTTGTTTGAAATAATAATTTCAAAATAATGAATATCATAACAATTTTTCATATAAAAAAAAATTCATGACAACCTTTAATTACGTTTAAAGAAAAAAACCTTAACATTTCTTGTAACAACTTAAATGTGGCTATCAAATGAAAATATAGTTATTCAAAAAATCACATGTACAATGAAGAATGCAAAGTAAAAACTAATGAATTATACCGATCTCTTAAGATTTTTTAAACCTACGAAAAGTCAGAACCAACCTTAAAATTTGGGACAAACAAAGATCAGAAGGAAAATATAGGTCTTAGCACACAACAAAGGAAAATTGAAAACACAAACATTTCTTTGAATGCAACAGGCACACAAACAGATCCACCATTCCCCATTAATATCACCACCAACATATAAGGTATTAACATTGCAATGAAGCAGGGGAAATCAAAACCAATTGATTGAACACCATGAGAAAACCCATTACACTAGAGTGCTGAAAAGATATTTAATATTCTTGCGCAAGATCACTAGAATGCTGAAAAGATATTTAATATTCTTGCACAAGATCAAAGTAATTACATGACATCACATCTGTGCAAAGCATACAGCTGCATCAACCTCAAGATGGACCAAAGAAATTTAGCATTATGGAGAATTCCAGAAAACATAATCCAGGAACAACTCCTGAGATGCAAACGTTACACAGCTTTCAAAAATACAGTGAGAAAGGACTACCTATGTGGTTACATCAGATTACTTACGAAGCTCTACTAGGACCAATAAAAATGGTAAAAGAATGAAAAACTTCACCTGAATTGAAGTTCAAAATATAGGTCTTCACATGGTCTGCTCACCGGTCATCTAGAGTTGATATAAAATTCATCTACCAATTGACCAGAAAGCTAATTTAGTATCAACCTCATTAATAATATTCACAAGACCTTCAGGATTAATATGGTCTAAAAAAGAAACTAGTCAACACTGCCAACCCACATCAAAGCCATAAGGAAAAATAAAAAAGAAAATAAACGAGAAACTACAACAAACCACGATAGCAGATTAGCAGCTAAAACAATATAACTCGGACAACCAAAATGCACCACCCAAGAACTGTGAAATTCCCAACTAAGGGAAGACAAATATTACCAGTAAATAGAGGGCAATGTTTCCATAGAGTGGTACTCAACAGATTTGCTCAGAAATCGTAATTTATCCATTTCCACTGCCAGCATTAAAGATAGATTGCATCAAACATTTACTAAATAATAAAAAAACAGAGACATTTGTTAAGCCAAGTTTCTTAAAGAAGCTAAGAAGATATTTCTCAAGAAGTATTCATGCCCCTCTTTGCTTTGAAGGAGTTGCAGTTTGGAGATACCAATCAAATGAGACTCTATTGTGATAATCAAGCTGCATTGCATATTGCATCAAATCCAGTCTTCCATGAAAGGACCAAACATATTGAGATCGATTGCCACTTTATCAGAGAGAAAGTCCTTTCTAAAGAAATCCTTATTGAATTTGTTAACTCCAGCGATCAGCTTGCTGATATTCTTACTAAATCACTGAGGGGACCACGGATACAATTTATCTGTGACAAGCTTGATGCATATGATATATATGCTCCAGCTTGAGGGGGAGTGTCAGAATATCTTATTATTGCTTTGATGAATAATGGAAGAATGGGTTTCCATTCTTCAACATGGGTTTCCATTTCCACTAGCATGGGTGTCCATACTTGTACATTATTGTTTTACTCATTATAAATACCATATAAGCTTCAGAGAATTCTCTAAACTATTCCAATGATTCTTTCTTCATGGTATCAAGAGCAAGGTTCATTCAGGAACCAGAACCAACGTACAGGTTCACCAACTTAGTCCATTCAAAAGCTTAAACACTCTCAGGTTCACCAACATACCTCAAAACCACTGTGAATCAAGATGGAAACACTCCCAGTCAACCCAGAAAATTATGACGACCCGATCTGGAGCTCCCCGCCGGCAGAAACTTCTTCACGCGCCGCCTTCCACTGCTCGTTTCCGTTCGCCGTGCTCGCCTTAGTCTCCTCTTTCTGTTCCAGTACTGAGTTGCTCCATTCTGGTTTGTTTCAATAGTGTATTATCCAAATCCACTTCTTACTGTTTGTTGTTCAATCCACTTCTGTTCCAGTACTGTGTTTCTGCCTTGTTTTGTGCGATTTGGTTCTATTTTTTTAGCTATATTGGAGTAAATATGGCTTCAAATGATGAAGATTCTACTGGTCCCAAAACTCCTCTCTCACCTAAAGATCCTGTTTCATCTGAAGTTACCAATCCGGTACGTCATGCTCCAGTTGCTTATGCTTTTTCAGGTTCACCAACAATTACATCTGAAAAGTTAAATAGTAAGAACTATTTAGCTTGGTCCTCTTTTGTTGAGTTGTGGTTTCTTGGTCCAGGTCTTTCAGACCATCTTGAAAAGTCAATTTCTGATATTCCTCAAATAGAACGAAGTCAATGGGAAAGATTTGACTATCAGTTATGTGCCTTGCTATGGCAATCTGTGGAACCTACAATTTTAATTAATTTTCGCACTTTTAAAACGTGTCACTTTTTGGAATAAAGCTCGCAGCTTATTTGCTAATGACATTCAAAGACTCTATGATGTAGCCCAGAAATTGGCTTCTCTTCACCAAAATAGTCATGATATGACAAGTTTTGTTGCTCAGGCACAGGCAGCAGTGGAGGAACTAAAAATGTTTTTACAGGCTGACAACCATCAAGGCTTGTTGGGAAAGTTGGAAAATCTATATGTAGTCCTGGTATTGCGTGCTATGCATCCTGATTTCAATCACATTCGAGATCAACTTTTGACTAGTCACGAAGTGCCCACCATGGACTATCTTACCACTCGCCTCTTGAGGGTTCCCAATTCCACTACTTCCGACCCGCGTCCCAACATAATTGACACTTCAGCTTCCGCTTTAGTCACTAACTCTGGCTTTCGTGGAGGTCGTGATGGACGAGGAGATTGGGAAGGTCGTGGTAATCGCAACAACAATCTTCACTGCACATACTGTAAGCGATCAGGCCACACTCAGGAGACATGTTACTCTCTACATGGTTTCCCTGATAAATCTGTCAATCTCACTCAGTCTGAACCTGGTGTAGAAGAAGGGACGAGATTTAACAGATCTGGTGAACAGTCATTTTCTCTTACAGAAAAGGAGTTTCAGGAATTTCTTCAGTTGAAAGCAGCAAAGTCAACTCAATCCTCTACTACCACTGTTGCTCATTTGGGTAATCCTACAGTTTGTATTTCTCATACGGGTAATAATTCCACACTCTGGATACTTGATTCAAGTGCCTCTAACCATGTAGCTGGTGATCAGTCTCTCTTCTCTTCTCTTTCTTCACCTACTTGTCCTCGTTTTGTAACTTTAGCTAATGTTCCAAAGTATCTGTCCGAGGCATTGGTGTTGTCTCACCCAATGCATCCATGTCATTAAATTCTACTTTATTTATACCTGGTTGTCCATTTAATTTAATTTCCTTGAGTCAGCTTACAAGATCTCTGAAGTGTTCTGTAACTTTTTATTTTGATTCTTTTGTTATCCAGGACCGTGGTACGGGAAAGACGATTGGCATAGGACATGAATCACAAGGACTTTACTACCTCCAATCAACCTCTCATATGGCATGTGCTACTGTGGAATCTCCTAGTCTTCTCCATCACCGTCTTGGTCATCCCAGTTTATTAAAACTTAAAAAAATGGTCCCAGGTCTTGAAAATCTAAAGTCTTTCAGTTGTGAGTCATGTCAACATGGCAAGCATGTTCGTTCTTCCTTTCCTAGTAAGGTCAACAGTCAAACAACATCTAGTTTTACTGTTATTCATTCTTATGTGTGGGGTCCTAGTCGTGTTTCTACACCAACTGGTTTTAAATATTTTGTGACTTTCATTGATGATTTTTCTCGATGTACTTGGTTATTTTTAATGAAGGAACGTTCAGAAGTCTTTCCCATATTTCAATCCTTCTGCAGTGAGA